ACTATCTAACATGATCTGAATCTCAGAATTTGTACCTTCATTCTTAAATTTGATAGTCATTATGACTTTTGGTCAATGACTATCGAGAATTTCCTATAAAATAAGAGTTATGGATTCTAGTGGAAGATGGTGTACTTACACCTCTGGTTAGTTCAAGACCCAGTAATAAGGCTCAGAAGAGAGTTGTGGAAGAAACCAAACTCAAGACTTGAGGGTCAAAATTTTTTTTTTCAATTCATTGATAGATAAATATTGGAGACTATCTTTGACAAGAGCACATTATGGACAATTTGGAATTCTATGAAACAGAAGTATTAGGATCTATAAGAATGAAACGTGCACAACTCAAAGCATTGAGGAGAGAATTTAAGCTACTCATCATGAAAAAAGGGAAAAAATAGACAATTTTTTGGAACACATCATGATTGTGGTGAGCAAAATGAAGTCCAATGAAGAATTGATGGAACAAAGTATTTTGGTGAGTCAAATACTGAATCTCTAACCCCCAAATTCAACTATGTTGTTTGCGCTATAGAGTAATCAAATGACATCATATTCTCACCATTGATAAGTTATATGGGAGGTTGTTGGTGCATGAGTAACGACTGCACGGGGTACAAGAGGAAGAACATGTGTTGAAGGCAACCCATGAGGACACGAGCAGTAGAAGTCTATTACATTCCTGAGCTCAAAAATAATTTGTTGAGTATCAGACAACTATAAGAAAAGGGCTTAGCCAGTTTGATTTCAGATGGCTCTTGCAAGATGTTTCATTCTACAAAGGGATTCATTATGAAAACTGAGATGAGTAGGAATAGAATGTTCTATGTGACAACTTTATGGCTCCGACACAATCATTATGCCTCTAATCAGAAACTACTGAGGCTAGAGCCTATTTGTGGCCCTGTCGTTTTGCACGCTTAATTCCAAAGCTTGAGCATCTTGGCCGATAAAGAAATGTTAGTAGGTCTACCTGCTTTGGCCCATTTGCAGAAAACATGTTTAACTAGAAAACAATCTAGATGTTCGTTTCCAAGTCAAAACACCTAGAGAGCATCTAAACGACTGCAACTAGTATGTTCGGATATATGTGGCCAAATTCAGCCAGCCTCCCACAATAATAAGAGGTATTTTCTAAGTTTGATTGGTGATTTTACTAGGAAAACGCTGGTGTATTTTTAGCATGAGAAATCAGTAGCACTAGCAAAGTTCAAAAAATTTAAGGCACGGGTTGAGAAGGAGGCAGATGTACACATACTATGCTTGCAAACAGATCGAGGTGGAGAGTTTCTCTCCAATGAGTTTGACGAATTTTGTCACACACAAGACATACAAAGACAGTTAACTACCTTCTACACTCCTCAACAAAATGGTGTGGTTGGAAGGAATAATATAACAATTATGAATGCAATTTGTTCTATGTTAAATGAGAAGCAAGTTCCCAATGTGTTCTGTCTAGAAACTGTAAAATGGTAAAATGGTGTGTGCATATCTAGAACAGATGTCCAACAGTAACTGTAGAGGATGTTACTCCAGAAGAAGCCTGGAGCGACAAAAAATCGGTGGTGGAGTATTTCAGAGTCTTTGGGTATGTGGCTCATACACATGTCCCAGACTATAAAAGAGTAATGCCGAATAATAAATGCGAAAAATGCATTTTTCTAGGAGTTAGTGATGAGTCTAAATCATGGAGGTTATATGATTCAGTCGCAAAAACTGTGATCATTAGTAGAAATATAATCTTTAAGGAGGAGAAGTGTTATGATTAAAACAAATTAGAGCTACAAAATCAATGAGAAGAGGTGTGTGAAGATATAGATGAAACTACATCAGCAACAACATGGTGCTGATAATAGTAAGGAAGGGAGTAACACAAGCATGTACAGTAGTTCACTAAGTTCATCTCAAGGGAGGGGTGCACGAGCAAGGAGTGCACCAGGGTGGTTGGCAGACTATGACACGAGAATGACCCTGTATCATTTGAAGAAGTCATAGAGAGTAAACATTGGAGAGAAGTCATGGTTAAAGAAATAGAAGCTATAGAGAAGAATCATACATGGAAGTTCACGTTATTACCGGATAGAGTTGCACCGATTGGAGTCAAATGAGTTTTTAAAATCAAACTAAGTGTTGAAGGGAAAGTAGAAAAACACAAGGCAAAGCTTGTAGCAAAGGAGTATGCACAAAGACATGGAATTGACTACACAGAAGTTTTTGTTCCAATTGCTAGATTAAATATTGTTAGATTGATTTTGGCTACTATTTCAACTTGATGTCAAGAGTGTCTTTTTTATGGAGAACTTAAAGAAGATGTCTTTGTCCTACAACGTGAAGTTTTATTAAAAAAGAGAAAGAAGAGAAGGTATATCGATTGAAGAAAATATTTATGACCTCAAATAGGCACCTTGTGTTTGGTATCATAAAAATTGAGACCTAATTTATACGAGAATAGTTTAAAATTTGTTTCAGTAAACACACATTATTAACTCAATCAAAAGAAGGTAAAATCTTAATTATGTGTGAGGACTTTAAGTAATCCATAATGCCTCATTTTGACATGTTTGATTTGAGAATAATTAGTTATTTTTTTGGCATTGAGGTTAAACAATATTCAACTATAATCTTTATTTGTCAAAAGAGATATACAAGAAAATTTTAGCCCGTTTTGGAATACATTGAAAAATCTCATACAGAGACTCAACCGTAAAAAAATACAAGAAAATGAGGTGTTGAAGAGACTTTATTTAAATAGCCACTGAAGAGTCTGGTTTATTTAACAGGCACTAGGCCTTATCTGATATACATAATGAGTTTACTCAACCATTAATCCTACTATAACAAATTGGATTGGCTGACAACAAAACGGATTTTAAAATATATTAAAGGTATAACCAATTTTGGAATCTGGTACAAGAAGTAACTAGCAATTTAAGACTACTAGTATTTTAGGACAGTGGAAAGGGTTTAGCAATGGGAGCGAGGGCGTGCATCTTCTCCTTCTCTTTCTGCACCGACTTTTCTCTTTTCTCTGCGCTTTCAATTGGAAAATCAACCACAATCTTCAAACCTTTAAACCCTGTTGCTAGGGTTTAATTTAAGATTCCAGTTTTTAGTTTTACTTGTTCCATTTTACATTCTGTATTTTATTTTATGTTCTTATCCGTTCTTACAATATTACTTTTGTATATTTTACAAAATTTATAATTTTAACAAATATTTTAGAGTATTCCTAGACCAAAAAATATTGGATTGGTGAATCAAAATATATAATTGTTTTTTTTTAATTTTGAATTATTATTACAAAACAGCAAAAAATTGTCTTTTTATGAATCCGACATTTTAATAAAAAGGATGAATTTTTTTTCCAAATTCATCAATCAAATAACTTCCGATTCTACCAAAACATACCGCAATCTTCAATATCTATATTTTTGACAGAATTTACATATCTACGAGGGTCGTTGCCTCTTATACTATATATTACCTTAGAAATGTTAAACTTTCTCAATCAAATAATTAATTAATATAATTAAGATTATAAAATGGATCATCTAATTTTAGTCCCTCCTATTTTTTTTAGTCCATAAAAATAAGACGGAATGAATTATAGACTCAACTTGCCTTGTCAAATATAGGTTGACTGACAATAATTTTATTTTATATATTTATTTTTAAATATATGAATAATTTTTAAATTTTTATTTATTAATTAATATTTTTATTAAATACATTTTTATTAATATAATATTTTTAATTATAATATTTTTTATTTTAAGTTTAATGTATAAAAGTTTTTTAAAGTGGGTAAGTTCCGTCAAGATCTCCGGATTTGGAATATTCTATAATATTTTTCAAAAAGTATAAATTTCACAAAATATACAAAAATAATATTGTGTTCTATAATAATAAATATGAAGTGCAGGAAAAATTAATTTTATTTTTGTGGACATAATTCAACTTTGACCCGATTATCGTGTGCTGAGTCAAACATGATTCATTATGTATAATTTAATAATATTTATACAAGTAGGATTCAATCATACTAATAACCTATATTTTCTTTACCACTATTTTATATATTTCACTGAGTAATTATATTTCAAAACTTATCACATTATAAGTTCTTATTATAGAATGTAGTTACATGATCTTAAAATTATTTGAAGATTGGTAGCATTTCGTTGATATATATATATATATATATATATATATATAAACTGTAGCATTTTTACCTTAGATAATTGGACATTTGTATTCACATCCCACGACAAAGGAATCGTTTTCGTACAGAGAAAAAAAAGAAAAAAAAAAGCGTTTTTGCTTAAAATTCTCTGCTACTTTGATGAAATTATATAATTTTTTTTTTCTTTTCTGTGTCATGAAACAGAAGGTCATTTATGTCCCACGAAATAGCCTCAATTGTCAAACCAAAGGTATCCTGGAGATAGCGAGTGGAATGTTATGAAAGAAGGGTGGTGTTAAATGAGAACATATGGTAAAAATATTTGTGCCAAAGCAAAATTTCCCTGAGCGTATCTCTCTGTTAGTCATTGAGACATTACTGTATCCTCCAAACCACAGGCGTTAATTTAACACTATAATATGTTGAGTTTCAAAATCTGCTATTTTTTATTAACTACAAAATGATCTTAGAACACCTTTTATATCAAATAGTTGATGCCTTAACAGCAAACACCGCGCAGATGGAATACATTTTCTTCTACTTCGCAGCAAATTAATAACTATTCCGTTCAAAAATAAGAGGAATAATTAGGTTTTATTTTCTACAGTAATCACGATTTCCCAATTTAAAATAAAAATAAATTAGGTTTTATTCTCCACCGTTTTCCATCTAATAGCATACACCTCCATCCATGGTGCAGCTATTGGATTTGGAGATTATGGGATAAATGCTCCTCAGTTGGAATAAACAATCATTCTGAAAACCTAAAAGCACCAATACAACAACACCTATCATGGAATTCAGAGATTTCCGCCAATTAAATGGCTGGTTGTTGCTGAGTTATGCAATGTATATTTCCACCGCCCAGAACAATCTCCCTGGAACCTTCAATTCCAACAACCTAAAAACCGACAAATATTTTAAAATGTCATTCAGAAACCAGAACCATGCACAATACTGAACCAAATTTTACATTTCATAAACGGCTTTTAATTTATAAATACTATAGTACAATAAAAAAAATTAAGAATATGCTACTACTATATTAGCTCTGCATGGGTATAGACTACTCAATATTGTTCAATAATTCATGATGATAGCATTACTTCATTTTGATAATAGTCAACGCAAAAGCGCATAATATTGAATGATAGCATTAGTTCGAAGAAATTTCTAGAACAAACAGTTGCAGTTGGAGCTAAAAAATGCTTGTATCCTATCATTTGAAATTTTGTATATCTCCCATCCCTCACAACACATTGTTCCCACTTTACTTTTAACTGTTGTCTGTTATAGATGCTGGTATTTCTATTTTATGAGCTATCAACCACCATTTTTTCTTTACTGGATATTCTTCAAGATGTTCAGGATAAAATATACACCAGAATTCCAATTAACCATTAGTAAATATTTATTTACAATAACAGCAATAATTATTGCAACTATAGATGTCTCTGAAAGATTCTTTAACAGAAAAAAGATCATGATAACAAACAGTTTTACTTACTTCATGATGAGGGAAAGCATTAGACAGGACTCGGATAGCTTCGTCATCCCACTTTTTATCTCCAAATTGTGGTGCAATGATAGCTTTATTAGCAACATAAAAGTTTGCATATGAAGCTGCAAGCCTAGTACCTGGAGGTCTTGGCTTAGCCTCACCGTCCTGGCAAATATAAAATTATAACATAACAAGCATTAAATGGAAGTTGAATATGTGTAGTCCATAATTTATCACTTACAATAGCAATAAACAGAACCACTTCAATCTTCAACCATATCATCAGGTATCAATATTTTGTTGAGCTCAGTATTCTCATCTTCATAACATATATTGTAGCATGGCGCAATCGCCAGTATTACAATATCACAGTTAAGTATACGATTTTTACAAACCACTGTCACTAAAAGTTGTCTGAAATATTTTTCAAGTTTATGGCACCTCATCTTAAAGTATGACTTGGTTAGCAGACTGGTTGCTAATTGCTTAAGATTACTGTGCCCAGCATCTTAAATCACCTGATTACAGTGTCAAAATTTAGATTAGGTGCGCAAAGCATAGAGAGGGTGCATTGAACCAGAGTAGTATAGGCAGTAGAACAGTTTCTAGTATTTTACTCTTCCTGATATTCCATCCCATTGAAAACATACTTGTTCATTCATTTCTTGACTGCAAATTAAATTTACGTTGACCTAATATACAGAATAAAAGATTTACATTAAAGAGGTGATGATAAGGTTGCAAGTAGGACACTAAACTTTCCACACAAGCAGAGACAAATTCCGTTGAAGAAAAAGTATACCAAATACCTGAGAGATACGAGCCAACCAAAACAGATGTTCATTGACTCATCGTACAAAACCTACCAAACTCATAGTTTTACATATACAGTTTTCCATGTGGTTCCAAATCCAATGAAAAATGCTTCACAACATCTTTAATAAGCAGTTAAACTTATTACTAACGAAAAAATACAGGCAACAATATGATAAAAAGAGCATAGAGCCACAAAAAATAAGAATGAGCTCCAATATTACATAACAAACTATGCATTGAATCATTTCATGATATAGTACCATGATGATTGGGTCATTATGATAATTATTCCTATATTTTTAATAAAATGAAATAATAATGATAAGAGATCTTTTTTCTGCTGATTATTATTTTCAATCAAGAACAAAAAAAAATAAAATAAATAAACATAAATTTTTACCTGAGAAATCCCAGCAGACTCGCTCTCTGACATATAAAGTGGACCAGGAACATGAATTTTGATGATTTCAAACTTTCTCCCATTGGCATCTGTTTCACTTGAAAGCAAAGAATAAGCTTCTATAGATCTTTCATACTGAGGATCAGTTTCGTCATCAGTCCAAGACAGCATAACCACACCAGGCCTCACAAAACAGCACATGTTATCAATATGACCATTTGTGTCATCATCTCCTGCATAAAAGCAGTATATTAGAATTTGGTGATAAATAAAATCTGAAAACAACTATGAACCTAAGACATGTGCTCCAATACTTTCAGGTTAGATATCTCTAAAGAGGAAGAGCTCTATGCTCCCAAAATTTGCCACCTCAAATGGAGTTCAAGTGCAAAATAAGAAGCAATTCATGAAGTTGGCAACAAACAACAACACCAGGATCCCCAAAGACAGTTGTAAGATCATAACAAAATAATACAGGTTGTTGTTTCTTTCTGTAGAAAATTAACTGGCAAGATTACCACAAAAATTCCAAATTTCTCATTGCTGGTGCCCATGTGGGACCTCCCAGTTTTTGTTTTAGCTTTCACTCAAAAGAAGATGGAAGGAAATCTGTCAGTGTTATCTTATTTTTAGTTTCATTCTGTATTAAAGAAAAATACTTATGAGATATAATCAATATACACTAATTGAGTAATTGGGAAACTTTGGACCTTTTATGAAATGGTGAAAGCTAGTCAAATGCACAGACGTTAATTTCCTGACAGAAAGTGCATTCAGTACAAGAGAACAGCTATATTTCATCTATAATACAAGTATCATTATATTGTTCTACAACTAATTATCCAGCTATAGTGCATTATAAGTAAGCATCATATATCAATCCATTGTTCTATTGGTTTTACACAAAGTCAAGGTTTTTTTCTCAAAAGTAATATTATTCTTGTCGACAAACAATTCTGTATCAAACCTGGTGAAACAACACATGATTACTGGTGCGAGGGGGAATTTTTTTAACTACCTTAAAATTATAGGAAGATTCTTAATCTACAACAGAAATATCAAGTTTATATACCATATAATCCACGAGGCAACCATATAACCTTCCTGACTCCAAGATATGTCTTAAGTTCATCCTCTATTTGGTCCTTACTTAAGTTAGGGTTCCTGTTCTTGTTCAAGAGGCACTCTTCTGTTGTAAGACAAGTTCCTGAAGGAAGGAAAAAATGCTGAAGCAAACATAAAAAACTTGTAAAATTTATAACCAATTCATTGAAAGATCCAGGTATAGAGAAGTAAATCTAATTATATGCAATCTGATTGACAAATTGAACTGGAAGACATGAAATGAACAAAACCACGTTCATGAATACAACTAGAATAAAATATTGTCTTGCACAGCTGCCCGTTATCCTCGTTCCTGAATAAATCAGCAGTAAAACTACATTTATTTAGAGATGAATATGTGCCAGATAACAAGCATGTAGTTGTATTTGTGTGTAGTTCTTTGGGTGCTGAGGTGCTGTTCTCCAATCAAAATTGGATTTGCACTGGTCTTTAATGCAAGTCTCTATTATCAGATTACATGAGTCACTTCAGCTCTGATTAGAAGCCAACACCAAACGAATAGTAATAGTACACATCGAATATAAGAGAAAATCAAGTGAAGGCTCAAAACATAAACCACTGGTTAGGATACAGTATCAAGACAATTTCATCAAAACATACGGCAAGGACATATAATGGCAAATAAATTGTATCACCTTGTTTAATCATTTCACAAGACCTCCATTGACCACATGATATAGAATTTTCTGTCTTATTATTATTATTTTCTGTAGAGGTGCACGAATAATTGACTAAAAAGTAGCAGCACCAGCAGATTAGACATTGTGTAAATTAATGAAAACAATTGCCTTCACTTAACCAAACAAGGCAACGTAACAAATTATAGATTTATTTGCTCGGACATCGACATGGCAAAAATGTACCTCCAACATGGCAAATAATCACTACATAACTCCTACCTTCTCCATCCACATGGATGCTTCCCCCTTCAAGCACCATCGAATGCGAAAATCTAGGAACCTTCTCAATTTCCAAAATCTAGCAAACATACAGGGAAAACAAACCAGTAAAGCCGTTCAGATGGCCAAAAAATAAAAAGTTTATAAATTAGTGAAATATAGAACATTTCAAACCTTCTTAGCCACAAGCAAATCAAGACTCCAATCACTATAACATCCATCTTCTAAACCTAAACAGTTCATAAAACTCCATAAGTGAAAGAACCAACCATGAACACATAATAATAAAATCATATTTATATCCTCTAATAATCATTCTTCAAATCACCCATCCTAACAAACCCTGATAGAATAGAAAGAGCCGAATATCAAGAGTCCTAGTGCTTACCTCCCCAACTATTAAATTTCCAGTCAATCCCTGCAATTCTGTCAACTGCATGACCAGATTCCGGCGTAGTGCTTCTTCTCACAACAAACTAATGAACAAAACAAACCACATTTCATGCTAACACATCCAAACTCACAAGGTTGTTTTGTACAAAAAGAGAAACTCACAGTGGGTCCAGTATCACGAAACCAAGAATCGTTCATGCTCATCTCAACCACCCTGATATGTTCAGGTAACTGACTCCGCGCATTCTCCCACTATTAAACAATTCAAGCATCGTCAGAAACACAACAACGTCCATTAATCAATACTTACTAACATCTAACTTAACCTACCTGCCCAGAACTAACACAAACATTAACAGGCTCGAATTTCGAGATCGCAGATGCCACCCTCGCAAACGCACCTTGGGCTGGAGCTGCGCCCTCTCGCCAGTTATCGGGACGTTCCTGTCACGCGCATCAAGCTTGTAAAAACAAACAAATAATAATACTAGAGTTTGGACGCAGCGTGCTCACAGGCCAACCCATCCAACACTGCGCGTGGGTTTCCCACTCCGCAGGCATGTGGAATCCAAGAGCAGACGGTGTTCCCTGGAACTTCATCACGAAATTCTTGGTTCGCTATGCCCTGTAGTAATTCAGAGCGACGAAAAACTCAGACGGTGAAGCACAAATTCTGAAGATTGTTATCAACGTAAAACCTAAGCAACGAAAAGGCAGAAGAGAGTTGGAAAACGGTACCAAGAGACGCCAGGGTGTTTTGTATGTTTTCTTTTGCATTACATTGAATCCTTCGATTGTTTGATAATTTTTAATTAAATTTGTATTGCCACTACATAAGATTCCATATAGAAAACAAATCAAAAAGATTCCATATAGAAAACAAATAAAAGGGAAGGAAAATGAAATTGCTTTTTATTGTGCGGTGGTGGAGAACAAAATATTTTTATTTTAAATAGTGAGATTTATATTTATTGTGTTATTTATTTTCATTCATCTTTAATACTTATAAAAAATATTTTTTTAACAAAATACTTTTAAGGATAAGATGTATTTTGTGTCTTGCAAAATTTTAAATATATCAAATACATTCTTAAAAGAAAATTCAACTAAAATTTAAACTTATATTTATGACAAGTTTAACACAAGAATCATGAAATAAAAAAATGCTTTTGTTAAAATCATCCTTCAGGTATTTTTATTATTATTATTATTAATGATTATAAATTTAAAATATATGATTAAATTTTACAGAAATAAAATAATACTATAATTGTTTAAAAGACATTTAATTTAAATTGTATAAAATGTTTAAAAGACATTTAATTTAAATTGTATAAAAAAAGAGGCAGACATATATATGCATTATTTTTAAAATTGGACCGTCCTCAAACGGTAAACATTGGTTAAAAGTTTAAAAGTTAAATCAGATTTAATGGGAAATTAAATCAAAATTGAACAGATTTAATAAAATAATATATTTTAATTATATAATAATATATTAAAATTAAAATAAGTTTATTATAACATAATAATAATAATTTTAATTTAATATAAATGTTATTTGAAAAATTATTATATAATAATGAGAATAATTTATAAAATATATAAAAAAATAATATGAATAAATATATAATAACATATTTGAAATATAAAATAATTAAAGAAAAAAATTGTTCATTACACCTAATTTAAAAAATAATTAGAAAAAAATTACAATTAACTTAAAAATAATTAAAAATAAAACTACATATCATATCTTATATTATATTTAATTTCAAATTTTATATATTTTATTTCTAAGACATATTATGAATATATGGATGACTTGCCCAATCATTAATTTTATTTTTAAAATTAAAAAATTGTTATTCTTACTTATTGTTATCTTTATTAATGATAATAATAAACAACGGGGATTTGATCCAACAGTCGGTTATACATATATATATATATATATATATATATATATATATATATATATATATATATATATATAAATAAATAAAGACTTTGTAAGCATAAGTACGGATGAATAGTTTATTTATTCATTTATTTCAAAGTTTCCTTCAATTCTCATGCCAATACGAACGCAACAGCGAGTAGAAAAACTACAGCATAGAAGAAACGGCAACATAGGAAGCATGCAACGAGCCAGAGTAGAGAGTCCCATTATGTTCATGAACCTCACTCACTGTCTCACTTCCAAACTCTCTAACAAGAGACACAATCTGTAAAACTACACCGTTCGGCCCAATTCTGACTCCTCTACTAGGTAAAAAGGTAGGCCTTGAAGGTGGATTTGGGCCCAAAACACTATTCACTGCAACCCAGAATTGACCCCTTGAGTTCCTCCTAATGTTATCTGGTCTTCCAGTAAGTTGCACGAAGAGTTCAGAAGAATTTGCTCTTGGCCCTTTGAGCCAAAATCTCAGGATTCTATTTGACGAGTATTCACTAACAAGGACAAATGCCCCATCACTGCTCACTGCCACCCCAGATGCCACAGCAAGACCCCTCATCAAAACTCTTGTTTGGTTTGTTTTTGGGTCTAGTGAGAATAAGCTCCCAGATTGATCTCTACTGCTTTGTAGTGCTGGAACATCCCTGCAAAAATTACAGGTCACATTTGTTATTTTACTAGCCTAGGCTCTAGTCAGTATCCAAGTGATAAAAAAAATAAAAGTAAAGTGAGGATTTTGAATTGAATAATTACTTGAAATGGAAGTTAGCACTAGCTTGGGTAAAATAAACGATTCCAGTGTTGACATCTATGTCAATTCCATCGAGAAACTCAACAGTACTGTTATCTTGTGGTGATTGGGGAGCTTTTAAACATTGAGTTGGTGCCCCTCCATTGGGCCCAATCTTGATAAGCCCAAAATAAGCATCAGCTACAAACAGTTCGTCTGTTTGATGGTTGAAACGTAATCCTAAAGGCCTTCCACATTCTGCTTGGATTTCTGAGAAATCAGCAAGCCCATCACACACTGTCTTGTTCCTGAATGGGACAACCAAAACAACAATAATTAAGCGTGTCTAAGAAAAGGTCTCATGGTCTATGAGAGTTGGTACATTAGAAGATTCAATCGCATGTTGGTTGAGAGTAAGAGGGAGTTGAATTAATGTTTGAGGTTTACCTGTTAGGTGAACTGTGACCATATTCCACGAAGCTGTTTGGACCAACATATTTGAGAATTCTTCCATCAGAAACACCAACGTATGGCCCTCCACCGTTTCGATCAAATGCTATAGACTCAGGACCTGTCACTGGTGACGGTAGTTGTAACCTTGTGGCTAATATAGCCCCTGATGGTGAACACAAAAGGAATGCCATAAAAATTGTAAAGAAAGTGATCATCATTGCGATGTTAGACAACATATTGTTACTGATATTTTATCAATGTAGGACACACAACTAAAGGATTCAGTGATAGTATTTATAGGCTTATATGTGTGTGCGCAATGCAGTAGTGTAACCAATAAGAGCCCAACCTTGTAGCAACCTCGTGTCAAGCCACGATATTAAGGAAAACAATGTGTCAGAAACGTTCATGTTTTTTTTTTCTTCTGTAATGATGGATTTAGTTATGGACAAAGCAGCGTTTGCGTAGATTGTGGAATGAAATTGTGGATTTGAAGCATCGGTAATTGGAAATAAAGATGATCAGTTAATTTTGCAATTTTATTATATTTTACAAAACCTTGAAACTTGCTCCTCGACAAGCTTTTTCTCGTGCTCTTACTCAAAATGTACAATTCACACCGTCCATGAGTAGATCTTCCTCCTTTACATGTCTGAAAGAGACATATGTTTAGTTCAACCTGTTTTGGAAAGATAATTATTTTTTTATCAAATTAAATTTTTTTCTTTAAAAAGCATAATTTATCCGTATATAAGAGTTTATATGCACTTAGAACAATGTATTGATTTAATTTATAAGAACAAGTTGTTTGAAAAATAATAGAATTGTAATTCATCTGTTTTTTATATATGATATAATATGGATCCAACTTAACTTTTAAATATAAGAATTGAGTTAATGTTCAATTTTATTCTATTTCAATTATTTGTATATAAAAATTCTCTCAATCTTTACGATTTGTTTGATGAACCTCGTACTTAAAGGGTTTATGAAAATACGTGTTTGTTCTATTAAAAATTACTATATCTCTATCTGATTTTAAATGATTATAGTTATTTTTAAATGTATACTATCTGTAAAGTTTTAAATTATATTAATTATTTTTTTATTAATTATATTTTCTATTTTTTAATTATATTTATTGTAAATAAACAAGATAATAAGTTACTAGATGTAATTTTAAAATGAGGAATAATATTAATATGATAAGAATACTAATAAAAAGTTAACAAATTTATTAAAAAAATTATTAATTTGTGTAATCAAAACTTAAACAACCTTTTTTTAAAAGCAACGTATTTAATGAATAACAAAAAAATGAAAGAATGCTGTGCATGAAATATAGCCATTCATTACACTCATAAATGTGTATTACTTGATAACTATATATGTATTAAGGTTATAAATATTTAAAGTCTTTGACTGTAATCCAGTTATTTTTATTTTCTTTTTAAAAAAACACATAGACAATTAAAAAAAAAAAACATAATCCACAAAATAACACACAAAAGATAAATACCCTCCTCAACCTCGTTAATGTTGAGTAGGTATTAAATAGTTTCAAATTTATCATGTGAATGTCCTGGTTTAAGACACTTTTAAATTACATTAACTGTTAAACTTTGACGTATTGGGTATTAGATAGTCTCCAATTTTCATGTCATTTTCATAATTGCCATTGTTTTTTTTATATTTAGGATATTATTTTCAATCATGGAGTATAAGGAAAAAAAAGTCATTATATAACATAATAATAAAATACAAATTTAAATAAAAAATGGGATTTGGACCACTGTATCGTTAGAAATAAATAAATAAAACGTATAATTTAAAAATAAATAAGATGAATATATAATTGAAAATAAATTAATAAAAAATAAGAATACAAATATTAATATATTACTAAAAAAAATAAATAGTATAACATAGATAAAATTTGTAAAAACTAATATATTATCGGAAACGTAAGACGACCTAGTGATTCCGTCAAGGATAAGATCATTACAAAGGGTGAGAAGATAATTATGATGAAATAATTAAGAATTTTAAATTTAAAATAAAGTAAACTACATGGATAATTGAAAGAAAAAAAAAACTATGATGTAGTGTAGACACTTATCAAGTGAACTTCGAAGGTAAATTATCTTTATATCTTTTTATTTATTTTTAATGGAACTTGAGTGGAAAGTATTAGTGGAATAAATTAGGATTTTTTTTTCAAAACCAATTTTACCAAAGATGTTGAATTTTTTTGTGGAAATATCATAAAATTTTGTATTAAAAAGTTTTTTAAATATATTGTTTTAAGATTTACGAATTATTTCATAATAACTGAGTGAACTGTTCTTTAGATTTGTTTACAAAATTATATAAAATTACTTAAAATGTACGTATAATTTTTAAAAACTCTTAGAATTTATCTAATAAAATGTCATTTTACTCAAGCTTTATAAGGATGTCTAGATTAATTTATCTGGATAAAAAATTTAAATTTTAAGGTACGTTTAGCTTTTTGCTATAATCATTAAATTGTAATATTTTTTAAAACCTTATAATTAAATTAAAATAAAATTAATTTGAAAATAAATGTTAGCCGTACAAAGTATACTCAAATGTAGATATACATAAAGAGAAAGTTTAGTAGATATACATAAATAGAAAGTAAAGAACAGAAAGACAATAGTACTAAAATTTAATTTATATTGACCATATCAAATTCTCTTGTGTTATTTTTGTCTCTTTTTTTTAACCTTATTTTATATAATTTATTTTGGATTACATTAATCTAAAATTATTGAATCAAATATGTGAATTGTAACATGTGCATTTCATTCATCATATAAAATTCTATCAGTGTTATTTATTTATATATCCTCGTTTTATATAATTTGTTTTAGGTTACATCAATAGAATAATGTTGAATCAAATATGTGAGTTCTTTTATAATTGAGTATTTAATTTATAAAAATAATTTTATTATTTTTTTCATTGTATAATGTTGACATATAGTCTTTAAGAAAACGAAAAATAAGTTTTTAAAAAATGAGATATATTTAATTTTTTATTTTTTTTATTAATATTTTCGTATATTTTATTTCTTTAACAAAATACTTATAATTTTTTTATTTTTCTCTTATTTCATTACATGTATAATTTTTATTTACCATATTTATCTTATTTTTGCGAAGTTACTCATCAACCTAATCTTATTGACAAAATTGTATTTTGATTCAGTTAATTCAATTTATTTATTTTTTTTACAGCTTTTTTTAAGCTTCACCTCATAGTATATTTAAACAACTTATTATAGATTAGCATATGATATTAACGGTTGGGATGACTTATTTTATGTTTTAAAGTATGTTGTTCAGGTTATCATTAAATATTATTTATTGGTAAAATTTCCACATGAACAATCACAAAAATTAAACTCAAATTATTATAAAATATGAATTCAATTTTTACTATTTGTATTTAAACTGCGTTTCTTGATTTAACTCAACCTTTATAAAAAAAAACAAATTTAAGACGATTTTTGAATTTTGTACAGTACACTGAAGCCTCACAACTTTTTTATGCGCAATAATTCGTAACATTATCATTTTCTTAATTTAATCTATGTGCATTTGAGCCCATAACATCCTGTCCTTCTCACTGGGCTAGAGGCCCATATACACAACTGTAAAATGTTTGGTGAATTTGTAAGGCTAAGAAGGGTAGGGGAATTGGAGCCGTTAGATCACATTGAAAGCAAAACAAATATCTCAGTTTTCCCTTCTTCCTTGTCTGTCTGAATGAAGAAAGGATCCCCTGTGTGAAAATTCTTATCGTCTCTGTGCATATTTTCTGCTCTAAAATAGCTATTTCTGTTCACATCTCAAATTTCTGTTCTCTCTTTTTGCTTCTGTTAGCTGCTATGGTTCTGGTTGAAGCCTGAGCAGAGGAACGTGTTACCTTTCAATTCCTGAAAGTTCAAGGTACGGAAGAAGTCATTAACACCTTGTTAATTTTGATTAAGTTGTGTTGGTAATAACATGCTGGATTGTTCGATTTTTCGTTCTATTCTCTTAAATCTGATTTTGTGAGTTTTGTTTCCTCTTTACTATTTCCTGTTAATAGTTTATATGACATTCAAATTAAATTATATGAATTGGATCAAAAAATTTTAGGATGAGGGAAAGAAAATTGCAACCACTAGTGTTGAATTTGTTGGAGTAGATATATTATAAGTTGAATTGTGCGAAATGTGTAGAATTAATGATACGTCCACTTCTACTGTGATGCTGTGCTACTGGGGAATGCCATACAAGATAACAAGGTTGTTGTAGAGGCTGGAAGTGGGGCTGGGGATATCCAATACTCTGAAAGTAGAGTGCTAAGCCGATTCTACTTTGGATGATTAAAAATAAAGAAATAATTATTTAACAACTTCTTTATTAATATCAGATATTTTTCTATTATTTTAATTTATTAAAATTTAATATATACATACATATATATATATATATATATATATATTTAAATAAATATTTATTTCTGAAATAATTATGAATTATTAAAGACAAATAAATAAGAGATAAAGTTTTAAAAAGAGAAAGAAATTTAACAAAATTAAGGGAATAAGAGTGAAATAATATTTTTTATTATTTTATATTAAAGTAAAAAAAAGCTGAAAAAAATCTGTAATTAAAAAATAGAAAAAATAAGATATAAAATAAATATAGATTATATTTTTCTTTTTTATATAAAAAGTGTTATAATAAGATTTTTTTTCTTATAGGATTATAGATTATAGAAGTATCTCGTATAGGATTATAAAATCTGTAATATAGATTTTACTTTTCATTTTTAATTTAATTAAACGATTGTAAGAAGTATCTCGTATTTATTTTTAGAATAAATAAAAATTAGATGAAAAGCAATTCTTTTATATATTTATACACACGAGAATAGCGAATTATTCTCAGAATAACTTTTGATCCTTACCTTAATTCTTTTTAATTTAATAAGTAAATTAACTTAGCCGTAACTGTTATATATTTTTTATGAGCGACAGTCCAGTCATCACTTAATTAAAATAATCACTAACATTAAAAATACTTTTTGAAAAGAAAATGAAAGTGCTGACGTTACCGTTGTTGCTTTGTGCGAAGGCCAGGCACTGTTGCTGTTTCTAGCATCCGTTGGTACAGTTATATTAATGTTTAATTTTATAACATCAGGAAGATTTTAATGGTAAGTTGTTTATTACCGAATATTATTAGTTATTTTTCGTCAAAATTTCCTATCTGTAGATTACATAATTTGATTAACACGATTTCATTGGCATAAAACAAAAAATGCAAAATGGAACTCCTTTAATTCTTATTTAAATGTCTTAAGAAAAGGTAGCTGTAGAAATAACTTTTCTTTTAATACACATGACAAACAAATTTATTTGGTACTTGAATTCATAGTGTTAAGGTTAGAGCTTAGAAAAACACTTTAGGGTAGCAAGTTTGTAAATTCCTTCACTTTTCAAGAGGTTCGATTTCGCTGTTTCACTTTATCAATTAGTAGCTTTTACAGTTATTCCTCCTTAAATTTGTTCACCATTCTGCTTCATGAACTATACGTTTTATTTCAATTTTAAGGTCCTATATAATGCACTGTTTGATTGAAGAATTAAAGTCAATATCTGTAATGTATTTCAGCCTTTTTGAAATCCATAACAAAAAAAACATTTGTTCAATTATTTTTATGAATTTTTCAACCTTCCTAGTGACTCCAAAAATTTAGACGGAAAAAAATGTTGAGGATCTTCAATTTGTATTCTTTTCACATGCATTTTGTAGTTATCTCCCTTTTTTTTATGAGGGTAAAATATGTTATCATTAAGGCAATTTGTTTGTGTTGTGTTTTGAAATGTCAAATTCCATCTCTTGATTCCATGTGCAGTATATGCAGTTCTGACTCATTATTTGTCCCAGTTTGTTCCTATTTTTTGCATTCAACTTTCATTGCCATTTTTCCTTTTTGCAGCATCTTTGCTCTCCCTAATGGCACAAGATACTGTTTTTGGTGCTGACTCACCTCGACGACGTCTATTGCGAGATCAGGTTCAAGTGGTGAAAAGGAAGGATTCTGATCGCTATGAAATTGTTCCTATCCAAGATTCCCTGTCATTTGAGAAAGGATTTTTCATATTCATTCGTGCGTGCCAATTGTTGGCTCAAAAGAATGATGGAATCATATTAGTAGGAGTTGCAGGTCCATCTGGAGCAGGGAAAACTGTTTTCACTGAGAAGATCCTCAATTTTATGCCAAGCATAGCTGTCATAACAATGGACAATTATAATGATTCTAGTAGAATTATTGATGGAAACTTTGATGGTAAGTTTTCTCTTCATTTATTTACTTTTTAGTAATCTATAATGACTGCTTACATGTATATTTCTTCATTCATTTGGGTTTTTGCTCGTTAATATGATTTTGAACATGTATTAGCCAAAGTTAATTCTGCTGCTGCACAATTATCATGCAGTTCATAAGAACACACATACACTAACATAAGATATAGAGGGAAAAATATTAGGTTTCAGAGTAGAAACAAACACATGTATTTATTTCTCTTTTTGTTCTCTGTATGAAGATTATGAGGTAACTATAGTGTTATAAAGTTATACTTTCAGATATAGATGTATTGTATTTTCTAAAGCAACATTCAATGGTCTCTCTTTTTTTGGTCTTCTCCAAGTCCACAAATGGTTTTATGCACATTTTGTTCATTTTGCCAAGGTCAATCTCAAGCCATTTTTTGTTCAGTTAGAGCTAATAATAGCAATTTTTTATATCTGTAGCCTAGTATCCAGGTTCTTTATGGCCGATGTCAGAAATTGTGTCAAGTTTTTTTTGGGGGTTTGGAGGCGTGGAATTGCTGAAAATTGATTAGAGAAGGTGTGGTGACAGGCCCTTGCTACTTTCTTCGTACAAAGTAGATCGCACAGTCTCCTTTCTATTACATGTTCAATGTATATTTGAGTGAGAAATTAACCACATTGAACAAATATGAACAGAAATACAGCAATACAACAAGACACAGTTGGACACTCCAAATACATTGTCATAATTTCCAAGTCTCCTTTGCAGGCCTAATAGTATATATTCTTAATTACTTATTCTTTTATATCCTCTACATGCATACAGACGGACTTATAATCTATTATTGGCAATATGGGCAAGTTTCCTGTCGTATCTAATCTAATTTATTATTTTAATTTCTGAGCAATACTTTTACTTGTTTATCATATTAGTCAATATTCAAGAAATAGGAAGGGATGTTATTCAATACTACTTTCTAATGTCATTGTTATTTGAAACAGACCCTCGGTTGACGGATTATGATACCTTGCTTGAAAATATACAGGGTCTTAAAGCAGGGAAGCCTGTTCAAGTTCCAATATATGATTTCAAGTCTAGTTCTCGCATAGGTTACAGGTTGTGTAGCTTTTAAATTTTATCATTTTTATAATGTGCAAGAGCCTATTCTGTAGTTTAGTTGTGCTATCTAGGCTTAATCTCAAATTAGGGAAACCTGGAAAAGAGAACACAAAAGCTAATGATATTGAACAATGTTTTATAAGGATCAAGTTATTAGATCTGAAATTCTTTAGATGTGGAATTAAAAAATCGATGTAACCTGGTTACTTTCAATTGAATTATTTGTCAATAGTCGACTATGCAATTATTGAGTGTGACTAAATCAGTTTCATGTTTGGATATCCAAACTGAAAAGTGATTTTAAAATTATACATATGCACGTTCATACATACATATAAGATTATATTTAAAAATAACTCTATATTTTTAAATTCTCAAAAGGGTATAAAAATATTTGTATAGGAACATGTAACTAGTTCTTTGATGGGGCGATGGGGTTGACTTTGGTAAGGATGTTTAGAGATACAGTATAATGAAAGATGTTAATAAGCAAAATATTTTTTTTTTTAAATAAAAGGTGATTTCAGTAATGAGATCACTTAAAACTAAATATGTTATAATTTATCAAAACAATTTATATAACAAAATGGTTCTTATATTGGAAACAATGCCAAACACCCACCCAATAAATAGTCCACAAATACATGCATATTATCATTCAAACATATATCGTAGTTTACGTTCTATCCCCCGCCCTCCTTATATTATTACTCATAAGCACCTCGTTCCATTATTAATCACTTAGCATGTGTAAATGCACATGTATTGATATGAATGTCTATTGCGTAGATAAAAGAGTAAGAGGTATAGGATAAATAAGTAAATATGGAGACACATGAGCACTAGAATTAATATCATATTATTCCAACCCAAAATGTTGTTGCATTTATGTTTATTTTGTTGATTTCTTTTCTACTATTTTCCTTACAGGACTATTGAAGTCCCTGCCTCTCGTATTGTAATCATAGAAGGCATATATGCCTTAAGTGAAAAATTAAGGCCTTTGCTTGATCTTCGTGTTTCTGTGACGGGTGGAGTTCATTTTGACCTTGTTAAGCGTGTATTACGGGACATTCACCGAGCTGGTCAAGAGCCTGAAGAAATAATTCATCAAATCTCTGAAACGGTTTTCACTGATCCCATGTTAGATTTTTTTAGGGGTGTCGAAAACTTGCATATGTCATACCAAGAGGCACATGCTATAATTCTTACCTATTATTTGTGTCCCTTCGTAGGTATATCCTATGTATAAAGCTTATATCGAGCCAGATCTTCAAACAGCACATATAAAAATCATTAACAAGTTTAATCCATTCTCTGGATTTCAGAATCCCACATACATATTAAAGGTGACCCTGTTCTATGCTATCATAGTTAAGTTCTAAATATTATGAAGAGTATTCTTGATGATACATTGTGTTGGTTGTTTCGGCCATTTTAGTCAGCAAGAGCTGTGACAGTTGATCAAATCAAGGAAATTATTGACGCACAGCATACTGAAACCAAAGAGGAAACATATGACATATTTCTTCTACCGCCTGGGGAAGACCCCGAAGCTTGTCAATCATATTTGAGAATGAGAAACCGCGATGGAAAGTACAATCTCATGTTTGAGGTTAAGTGATTGAAAACTATTAGATTGTTATAGTTATATTAATTTTCAAGGGAATGTCTAGCAAGCCAGGCAAAATTTTGAGGGGGTGTAAGAACTTATACAAAACTTATTTGAACTCACGAAAGATGCTTATGACCCTAATAATAAGTATTTTTTTAGAATTATTTCAATAAGCTTCAGGGTAAAGATTATCAAAATAAGTTCTTTTAGCTTAATTTAGTTAACATCATATTGAAAGCTTATAATTAACTTCTTACAAATATGTGCTTAGTTAAGTTTTTCACCCAAGTGAGTCCTTTGGACATTTATTTTATTCCAATGTTTCACTAATAATATTGTTTACCTAGTTACAGGTTTGTTAAAAACCTATTGAGCATCTTGTATAGTAGTTACAGGCTACAACCACTTCATGATATTGTGACAGTTAATGAAATGAACTCTAAAGAAAAAAAAAAAGAAAAAAGAAAGCCATAGATAAATTTTCAAAAGCTTCAACTTTCAAACATTTTTTTAGTGTACATACCTACAACAGATGCCATGCAAATTGAGTTCTTGTAATTAATGAAACATATACTCCCACTTATTTTTCTCTTTTACTGCCTCCAGTGCATTGTTTGTTTCAAACCTGTTCTTTGATTGGTGCCTTTTGCAATGATTTGTTGATTTATTTCCTTTTTTGTCTCGTTTTTGTTTTAGCTATAAGGTTTTGTTGTGAAATTTTATGTTTATGCATATGTACTTCTAAAAAACAATGGATAAAAGAAGTGTGTTGTTTGCTGCAAGAAGTTTTACAAATACTTATGGTTCACAATGGATATAGCAGTTTTCAAAGTCAAGGTTTTGCAGATCTTATTTTCAACATCATTCCTTCCTTCTTGGGCTTTAGATTTTCTGAAAATATTGCATTTAGAAGCAAAATTACGGAAAAACCTCTATAATGATAGTGCATTCTGGCTTTCAGGAATGGGTGACAGATAGTCCATTCATAATATCACCTAGAATTACTTTTGAGGTCAGTGTGCGCCTTCTTGGAGGACTGATGGCCTTAGGATACACAATTGCATCTATCCTGAAAAGAAGCAGTCACATCTTTCGTGATGATAAAGTGACCATAAAAACTGATTGGTTAGAACAACTTAATCGCACATATGTTCAGGTATAAATCATTCCTTACATGTTTTTTATGCTTGTTTGTATGTGATAAGTAGTTTTAACTTTTGATTTGTCCTGACTATTTGTTGTCTGTTAATAGTATCACCCAAAGATTCATGTTTTTTATCCCAAGATATAATTTGTTGTGTTCATTAATTTTCCAGTACTAGATGAATCCTATACATGGCCTGCTAATACGCATACATATCTAGTTCACTTTCCCCTTTGCCCTACATTCATCTGTTAAATACTGTCCTCCCACTAATTAACATCATATTTCTTCATTTTTGTCATTAACATGTGACCTGCTGGTCACAGATTCTTGTTTTGGAAAGTGATTCTCTATTTACAAGGGTAAGGCTTCTTACATCCTCCTCTTGAACTCACAATAGTGAAGCCATGGGCCTCCTTTTTCTTATATTAACCTTCATTATTTTAAATCACATCTTGCTAAAGCTATTACTCACGATTTATTCCACATTCTAAGAACAGTCATGATCATTTTTCAATCAATTTTCTCTTATTTTTTGACATCCATCTTACTTGTATTTATATGGTGAATTAGATGGTAGAAGTGGTTTGGGTTAAAAATCTCACATTGACTAGAGATATGACCAATATATAATAGATTGAATGCTAGTTAAACATGTTTGTTGGTAATTCATAGTATCTTATTATTAGTTGACTTAAGGTAAATTATCGTCGTACTATTACACTATCTTAATCTATAAAATATTTTATATATTATATAAATTGAGTTTATGTCATGTTAACTTTAATGTACTTCCTTCATTAATTTCTGTGATTGAGTCAACTTTTTCTTTGACACATTGATTCTTAAGTGACTATAGATTTTGAAAATATGGTTACTGTTCGGGATTCCAGTTATGGTCTAGTCCCTTATAGTTGGTGATAGGACAACCTTGATCACTAAGGTCCACTTGCAAATTACTAGATTGCTGAATTCTTCTTTTGTGGTTAGTAAAATTTGGGCCTGTTAGAATGAACCAATATCTCCAAGGGTAAAGGTATAATTTATGCTGCAAATCAGTTAATATACTTGCAAAAATAGCTTTTCCAAACTGTCCATCCTAAGAGATAACAGTTATAGAAACCTGCCTTTCCTAAGGAAAATTAGTTGTAGAATTTTTCAAACATATATGGCCATACTGACAGGTGGTAGTATCAGTCTAACATCATAAATTAGTTGATTTATAGTTACTGTGACAATAGGTTTTAAAAATATGGTTTCTCTGTTATGGATTCCAGTAATGGTCTAGTCCCGTATAGTTAGTTGTAGGACAACCTTGACCAGTAAGGTTCAGTTGTAAATTACATAGGGTTTGTGTTGGTGACCGTAGCACTAGGTATGTTGTTTAGTGGCACTTGAGCCCTGAACTGAACAGAAGTTGGTGGGAAAACATGTGCCCAGGCTGGCACATGAGAGGATCCCAGTATACTGTACATTTTATTGTCGGGAGATACAGGTCTTGAATTGCCAGAATAGTTGTTTGAATTACCTGAATTATTACTCAAATTACCAGAATTTGGAGAAAATTGCTGTTGGTAGTACGGTTATAGCAATGATAGCTAAGAGAGGCTATATAACCAAACCAAAAGCACACTTGATATTGACCATTGGAATAGCCACCGCCTCTACAACCTTGAAAGATTTTACCAGCATGGCCTCTACAAGAGCCACAATAATCAGAGGATTCATCGAGTTGTTACTCTTGAGAAAGATGAATTTGCACCTGAAAATGATTTGAGGTTTTGTAGGGTGCAAACGGATCAAGTTCGGTGCATGAGTTAGGTTAATGGAAAACTTTTTGGGATATTTTTGCAATCGCATTTTGTGAGCCAAGAAAAGTGCTTCAACTTCTTCAATTAGAAGAGGCTCAAATTTACTTTCAATTACTGAAATAAAATCTTGTGGAATTCCTTCAAGGATTACATCAACTTGTTCTTGATTAGAAACAAGATTGCCTATTGAAGCAAGAGAATCAACAAGAAGCTTGATCTGGAGTAAGAACTCTGAAATAGAGCATTCTTCAAGAGTTACACGCTAAGATAAGTCCGTAGTTGTCATGTTTGTGCTCGAGTCTGCTTTTGAAAATAGTCACGTAGTCACTCCCAAATTTCGTATAAATGAATGCAACCTAGAACTCGACTAAGGATTGAAGACAAAAGAGATTATTTCAGCCAGGAAATAAGCATATGATCCTATTGCTCCCAAGCATCATGTGGCAGAATTGAGAATTCCAGCATCTCGATTCCCTGGAGTAGCAAAATAAGAGGAATATCATGAGCAATGGCAAGATGATGTGATTTGATCACAGGCTCAACATGTTGATGCCCAAAGAGAAATTCTTCTCATCAAGTTATTTAGAAGTTGAATGTGAGAAGGTTACTGGAGCAGAAGCAGCCATTGGCACGAAGAAGAATTGTTCATCTATGGATTGCAAACTCTTGATAAAGTGTTCATCTAAGATCGCAAACTCTTGATACCATCATATACTTGCAAAGAGTTTATAACTGATAGAGAACTTTTGTATTTTAAAGAATTGAACAAATGAAACACCTACGTTTGAGCAGTTACAGAAAAAAGAATTTATACATGGTAACAAACTAGTGACAGCTGTCACCAGACAGCTACTCTGTAACTAACTCCAAAGATTAATGACGGTTGTTAGTAGATAACTGGTACATTAACTAACTCTTAGCTAACTAATGACTGTTATTTTACAATAGAGTAATATACTCATATATTACCTATTTTGTTTGTAAAATTTAGCCTTGTTAGAATGAATCAGTGATCTCCAAATGTATCTATTAAAATGAGCATCTTGTTTGTTTACTGTTGGGAATGTTCTTGTGTGTTTTATTAGAGTGGTCCCGGGCTAGCTCATAGGATTAACACAGTAACATATTGCTCTTAAGGATGGGTGGAACATATTTATGTCATCTTCAGAACTCAAGCTCGAGTCTACCGTGCTTGTTCATTGGCTTAAAATTGAAGCTCTGGAAAATTAGATTAAATGAAATCTTATTTCATTTTTTAATACAAAGAGATCATACAAGATATATTCAAGAGATCTAAGCTATTTTAGGAAATATAATAACTCTATTTTATTCTAAAATCCCTTTATATATGGGATTGTTCCTAATTATTCAAATTTGTACAGATTACAAGGAAATATACAATTTTTCTAATTTATTCTTTCCTAAAATATTATTTGATTTCCCACACTCCCCCTCAAGCTGGTGAATAGATGTTTTCCATTCCCAACTTGGATACAATCTTCTCAAAATTGTGGCAGCAGAGTCCCTTGGTAAGAATGTCTGCAATTTGGTCTTGAAAGGATACATATGGAGTGCATATTAAGCCACTATCAAGCTTTTTTTTTTTTTATGAAGTGTCTGTCTACTTCAATATGTTTTGTTCTATCATGCTACACTAAGTTGTGGGCTATGCTGATTGCTGACTTATTATCAAAATAGAGTTTATTATCACAATAGAGCTTATTATCACAATATAGCTTCATAGGTTCTTCCCATTTTATCCTCAAATCTTCTAAGATGATTTTAAGCCATAGCAACTCACATATACCTTGTGCCATGGCTCGGAATTCCGCTTCAGCACTGGACCGAGCCACTACACCCTGCTTTTTGCTTTTCCAAGTCACAAGATTTCCAAGAAAGGTGCAAGACGATTGACCCTGCATAATCAGCATCAGTATAGGCTTCAAGCTTCACATTACCATTCCTTTTAAATAGAATTCCTCATCCTGAAGTTCCTTTAAGGTATTGTACAATTTTGTGGACAGCTTGTAAATGGGTCTCCTTTGGGCTATGCATAAATTGGCTAATTAAACTCACTACATAGACAATATCTAGCCTGGTATGCGACAAATATATAAGACTGCCCATTAATCGCTGGTACATATCTTTTTCAACAGTAACATCTTCTGCATTTTCAAGCTTTAGGTTTGGTTCTAATGAGATACTAGCAGGTTTGCAAGCTGCCTTGCTAGTTTTCTTGAGCAAATCAATGATGTATTTCTGCTGGGATATCAATATCCCTTTCTTGGAGTGGACAACTTCAATTCCCAAAAAATATTTTAGTTTTCCTAAGGTCTTGATCTCAAATTCCTTGCCTAAGCATTGACTCAACAATTGCTGCTCTTCTTTATTATCTCCAGTTAATATTATGTCATCCACATACACTAATAATATTATTACTCCCCCTGACTTGGAATGTTTAAAGAATAAAGTATGGTCCCCTTGACATTGTTTGTAACCCAGACCTGTCATAACTTTAGTAAACCTATCAAACCATGCACGAGGGGACTGTTTTAGTCCATATAATGCCTTTTTCAACTTGCAAACAGTGTCGGCAGCAACATTTCTAACATATCTCGGAAGTATCTCCATATAAATTTCTTCTTCAATGTTTCCATGAAGGAAAGCATTCTTCACATCAAATTGTTCCAAGTTCCAACCATAATTAGCAGCAAGGGACAATATCACCCTAATTGTGTTCATTTTGGCAACCGGAGCAAAGGTCTCCAAATAATCAACTCCATAGGTTTGGGTAAACCCTTTGGCAACTAATCTTGCCTTATATCTCTCAATTGATCCATCAGCCTTGTATTTTGATTGTATAGACCCACTTACATCCAACTGGCCTCTTTCCTATTGGTAAGGTGACTAACTACCAGGTGTTGTTCTTCTCCAATGCCTCCATCTCTACATCATGGCTTGCCTCTATTTTCTGTTAGACGATGCCTCATATAGGGTATTAGGTAGAAGTGTAGTGTTTAGGTTTACTAGGAAGGTTTTATGGGTAGGAGAGAAATTTTTAAAGGACAGGTAATTTGAGAGAGGGTAGAGTGACTGTTTGGTGCATTTTCTTGTCCCTTTTTCTAATGGCAATTGGGAGATGAGGATCATTTTGGGTTTCAATTTCAACTTGCACAGCTGGAGAAAAAATTGTTACCTCTTTTTGTGGAGTCGAGTTGGATTCTTGAACATGACTTGATCCTGGAATGACCTTAGTCTTCCTTGAGTACACTAGCTTCTTACCAAATTTTTCAGCTTCAACATCACCTTGATCAGCTTCACAATTAATTTCACTTTCTTGACCAACTTTTTTTTCTTGACCAATTTCTTGACCAGCTTCACTTCCTTGACTTGTTTCACTTGTTACAACTTCAATTTGATCTCGCTTAGGTTCAAATATCAAGTCTAGAAGAATGAGAAAACCATAATTACTACTTTCCTTATCTTCCCTGAAACTCGCTCCCTGAAGATAAGGTAGATGGAAATAGCCCTCTTGTTCATTGAAGGTAACATCCCTAGACACAAAATTTTTTGGATGGGGGTAGTAGCATTTATACCCTTTCTGAGTGGATGAGTAGCCAACAAAGACACACTTTAAGGCTCTAGGATCAAGTTTTCCCCTATCTGTACTATGAATATGGACATATGAGATGCACCCAAAAACTCTTGGTTTAAGATTATTTGTAGTGGACATGTTTGGATAGAAAGACGACAAAACTTCCATAGGGCTTTTTGATCCTAAGACTCTAGAGGGTAGTCTATTGATAAAGTGTGTTGCTGTAAGGACAGTTTCTCCCCAGAAATTTTTTGGGACACTTTTTTGGACCAACAATGCTCAAGTCTGATTTAATAGATGTCAATTTTCCTCTCTGCGACCCCATTCTGCTGTGGTGTTTTGACACAATAGGACTCATGAATTATACTTTCTTTTTGACAAAAAGAATTAAGGACATGATTGAAGTAATCTTTGTCTTTATCTAACCTAAGCCTCTTAATATTAACACCAAACTGATTTTTTATCAAGGAGTGGAAGTTTAGGAAGACAAAACTGACTTCTGATTTTTGTTTAAGTAGGAAAACCCAAGTGACCCTTGTACAATCATCTATAAAGGTGACAAACCATCGAGCACCAGACACATTTGGAATATTAGAAGGTCCCCATACATCAGTATGAACAAGATAAAAAGGGAAATTGCTAATTTTATTACTTATTGGAAAAGATACACACTTGTGCTTAGCAAGTTCACACACCTCACAATGAAGACTCTCAACATCTAACTTAGTAAACAAAGAGGGAAACATAATTTTGATCACTCCAAAAGAGGAATGTCCCAATCAACAATGATAAAGCATGATTTTTTCTCTGTTGGTCATCAAGGATTCAGATATGAAGGAGTGAGAGATTCTATTCTTGCTGGACAGACTTCGATCTTCAAGATAAAAAAGACCATTTCATTCTCTATCATGTCCAATCATCCTCCCCGAATCCTTGTCCTGAAATACACAATGATCGTTGAAAAAAACTTTACATGACAAATCCTTTATAAGTTTTTGTATAGAGACTAGGTTGGTAGACAACTTTGGGACATGGAGAGCATCTTTTAAGGTTATTAAAGGATTGATTTGGATATTTCTTTGACCAGCTGCAGTTATAAGGGTTCCATCTGCTGTGACAATTTTCTTGTTGCTGGGACATGGAGAATATGTGGAAAAGTGTTTGGGTAATGGTGTCATGTGGTCTGTGACTCCACAGTCCAATATCCAATAATGGTTAAAAGGTGTATCTGAGGCATTTAATCCAAAAGAAAGTAGAAACTTACTTGAGTATGCCAAAGAACACTCACCTGTAGGTTTTTTCAGCTTACTAAGAAAGGTTCTCACCCTTTCTATCTCCTCTTGGTTAAGATGGGCAGTAGCTTCTGGATTATTTCCTTCATTTGTTTCAGCAACAACATAAACTTGTCCTCTTTCCTTAAGGAGCCTCCTCTATGTCCCCCTTCTCGATCTCGATTTAAAGGTTTCCCCTGTAACTTCCAGCACTTCTCTCGGGTATGACGAGGCTTATTGCAGTAGATACACCAGAGACCATCACCTTTCTTCTCCACATTTGTTGATCCTCCTTTCTTTTGTTCGGCTACCATGGCCAAAGTTTGATCTCCTTTATGGTTAGCCACCATTGTTGAGTTCTCTATTGCTGGACTCTCTAACATGAGACCCCTTCTACTTTCTTCACTTCTCACTATAGCCACCACTTCATTGAAGCATGCTACCTTTTGCTTCCCCAATATTTGAGTCCTAACTTGATCAAATTCAGGATTCAAACCAACAAGGAAATCATAAACTCTGTCTTGTTCGATATACTCCTTGAGAAGTGTTGAATCTTCAGTACATTTGGCTTTTATGACTCTATAATGGTCTAGCTTCATCCATAATGATTTCACCTGATTGGCATATTCTGTAACAACCTTGTTCCCTTGTTTTGCTGCCAAAGTTTTCACCTTTACTTCATATACTTGAGCAGCATCTTTGGCTTTAGAGTAGGTTTGCTCTACAACATCCCAAATCTCTTTTGCTGAATTAAGGAACATGCATGTGTAGCTGATTTCTGGAATAATTGAATTCCACAGTCACACCATGATCATTGAATTTTCCTCATCCCATGTAGTAAACTTGGGATCCTCCTGTTTAGGTCCAGACTCCATCAGGTGACTCAACTTCCCCTTTCCCTTCAACACTGTACGAACTTCAAATAATTTCTTCCATTTAGTCTATATGCAGAATGGATATTTTGCAGTTCTCCAGATTGTTAGGATTGGTTATTCCCTGTTTCTAGGGTTGAGTTCACAACTTCCTCTTCCCTTGACATTATAGCAAGAAGGTGCGATGCAGCAACAATGCAGGCTGCCGTCTTAGGGTTTATAGTGCACAGACAGAGCTTCCTAGATCGGAAGCTCTGATACCATCTGAAAAATTAGATTAAATGAAATCTTATTTCATTTTTTAATACAAAGAGATCATATAAGATATATGCAGGAGACCTAAGCTATTTTAGGAAATATAATAACTCTATTTTATTCTAGGATCCCTTGATATATGAGATTGTTTCTAATTATTCAAATCTATATAGATTACAAGGAAATATACAAATTTTCTAATTTATTCTTTCCTAAAATACTATTTGATTTCCCACAGAAGCCTTCTTTTCAAGTCCTTGGGGACTTACCTGAACCTAAGCGCTTAAAGTTTTTGGCTAGGCCTGGGTAGTCCATGGAGCTGGGGACACATGCCCATACCTATTATATATGTTTGTGTTTGTTTCTTTGTTGCCAGCCACTAAATACTTATTTTTGTTGTTTTCAAGGTGCAAGGGAAAGACAGGAACTATTGCAAATTTGTAGCAGAGAAATTGGGATTGGATGGTTCCTATGTTCCTCGCACTTATATTGAACAAATTCAGCTAGAAAAGCTTGTAAACGATGTCATAGTATGGGCCGTCATTTAACCTTTTACTTGCGGTTTCAATTTTTATACACTAAATCACTAGTCTGATCAAACTGCAGGCATTGCCAGACGATCTTAAGACAAAACTCAGCTTAGACGATGACTTGGTTTCAAGCCCCAAAGAAGCCCTGTCCAGAGCTTCTGCAGATAGGAGAATAAAGTATCTTAATCGGTAATTTTTAATTTTCATTACCTATTTGACCTGTCTTAAAAAGAATGTTGGTATTACTTATACTTGTTTTTCATACTTGGAATAAAAATTTCTGAATCTGATTAAAAGTTTGTTATAGTAAGGTTGATGTTTTTCTCATTTTGTCTTCCGTAGTGGTATTTCACACTCATATTCAACTCAAAGGGACAAGATTCTACCTAAGCTGACTAAACTTGCTATAAATAACAGAAGATTCGATGGAAGAGCTCTAGAATCACCTGCACCGATTGCTAACCATGTAATATATAATTTCCTTGAGAAATCATTTAATTGCGATCATTTTGGCCTCTTCATTCATCAATGTATCACCTGTTTTGTCTTTTATTTAATGGAACATGTTAAACTACTTGTTGAGTCCATACGCAGAAATGTTGAAAAAGGTAATGATATACAATTGTACTGCATATTGGCAAGAAACTTCAGAGAACATGCATATTAAAAATTTGATGGAAATTATATTCACATAGTTTTTTGGCATAAAAAGGTGTTTCAAGTAATAACTGTTTGCTTTGTGTTGTGCCTAACAAGTTCATACTTCTATTTATTCTTCTACCCAGCTATGATTCAATTACTGATATTTGCTTTTGAGTTGTCCAGGGGGTCATCACTCAACTTTCTGATCAAATTTCTACACTAAATGAAAGAATGGATGAATTCACCTCCCGTATTGAAGAATTGAATTCAAAATTTTCTACCAACAAAGTTTCAGCCAGTCAACAAAACTTGGCTTCACAGACCGAAGCCAGTAATGGCTCAGGCCCCACTTCCTTCTTTGTAACTGGATTAGGCAATGGTTCATTGACTGGATCAGTGCTGCCTAAGTCTTCATCATCTTCTCAATTGGCGAAAGAGTCTCCCCTGATGGATGAGGTTGGTCCCCTGATTTTTCATTCACGTGACACTAATAGTATGATTGGTTTAGGAAAGAAAGAGAGAGTAGAAAATGAGGCGATATAATCATTTTTTTTTAGGAAAGAAGATGGAAGGCAGAATGTTCAGTAGTAAATGACACAAAATGTCCCTAATAAAAAAGGTTGAGAACGTAAAGATAACAGTAGATTAATCTTTTAATTACAAAAGTTTATTTTCTCCAATTAGAAGGATTGAATGTATGGATGGGTCAATTTTTTTCCTTCCTTTCTAAGTTCTAATAAACAGTGGAAGGAAAGTAAAAATCGGTTCCTTCCATACACTCCATGATAGTGCTATGAATTACATATGTGCATACTGCGTCTCACCTGAGATAAAACATAATATGAAGGAACTTCATGTGGGAAGAAATAAATATAATTTTGTACATGATTTTTATTGAGATGTAGACATGCCCGTGTTTAGTAATAAATTTAGGTACTTTTAAATAAAAAAATACAAGAATTTATATAATTTTAAAATCCAAAAATCATTATTTTTTTTTGAATTAGTTAGGAATAATTTTAATGAAGATTAAAATACCATTACCCAATTTGCATATTCTGTTTAGCAATATATATGGTTCCTTATAAAATTATTGTAAAATGTGAAATAATATGTTTCTAAACTGTAGTTGGATATTATGTTTAGATTTGAAGTGACCTTATTCAGTACCTCCCATATCCCTTCTTTCAGACAACATCGAGGACAATTTTCTACATTGAGATTATGCATGGAGCAATAAAACATTTTTTTTTAATTTTAATTGCTATTTTTCAAAATAGGTATTAGTTATTGCACGAGGACAACGTCAAATCATGCATCAACTAGACACTCTGAGCAATCTTTTGCACGAATACTTTGGAGAAAGGTCCCGACTTGGAAGACCAAATCAGACAGGTAGAATGCTTGAAGCTGATTATGTTGCCATCCCCTTGGTTCTAACTCTGGCCATTGGTGTTGTTGGTGTGTTTTTGTTCAGGGGTGTGGCATCCCAAAAATAGGGTATAATAATGTTAATGTATTTTCTCTTACCGATTGTCACTGCTTTTTACGAGAGAAACCTCGTAAATATAGCTTAAATGGTTTCTAAAAACAATTACATCTGCGAGGGATTGCTTCACATCGTCAAGGCATATCTTGGCATTCACTTAAGTGTAATATGTATAGAGTCGTGTAATAATACTCAATGTGTAAGTTTCTTTACATATTTTTTTTTATCGTTAAATAATTCGTCCACTTAGTGGAATACTGAACTTGCATACATTATAATTGTTCTTTAATTTTATTAGTTTTTCGCAGTTGACATTTCATTTAATGACTTCCGGAGACTGATATTTCAACCAATTAACTGTTTTACTCAGCGATTGCCAGGAGGAAGAAAATGTTCATTTATCCTAAATTGTCTTGAAGTACGACATTGTTAAATTTTCCATGATGACTCAAAATATAAAACAACTGTGATGCATATAATTAGGTATAATATAATTGTTATGCAATTAAAAGGTAAAATTTCTATTAAACATTATAATATTTAATATTTGTCCGACATTCTTGTGTGAATTCTAATAAAGTTTATAATTATTTCTTATTTGTTGTCAAAAATACTAAGTATATATGTTTTCAATTTCATATTTTGTGGTAGCCACTTCTGCGCCTGTGAAGAAAAACGTGCACTGAAAGTCAAAGAGAATGAGAGAATGTATCAGAAATGAAAGAATTGGAAGGGAATTGTTCCGAAAAGATTATTCGCTTAATGATTAGTTTTACAATCTGTTCCAGAATTAGTTAAATACTAATTTAAAATTAGGTATTTAAAATTTTATTCTAAATTCTTATTTTGTAATAAATTGTTTGAAATATTCCGGAAAATAACTTTTTAGGACATCCTGGTTAATAAGAATTGTAAAGGTGTATGAAGTAACTATGGAATGCAAAAGGAAATTTCTTATAGTCCATCTAATTTACGCCCAAGTGTTAAGCCCAATAAAAGACTGGGCCTTGTTACAAGGACTGGCCCGGGTAAACTTATGATAAGTTCGCGGTGCGCCGTCGCATTTAACATTCTTGCACCCAAACCTGAATCCAGAATCAAAAAACCCTAGAGGGTTTGAAGGTATTTGGTTGATTTTCCAAATTGAGAGCGCAGAGAAAAGAGAGAGATGGGAAGCGACAGCGAGGCAGAGAAGTCGGTGCAGAAAGAGAAGGAGAAGAAGAAGATGCAGGCCCTCGCTCCCATCGCTAAACCCCTTGCTGGCAAGAAGCTTTGCAAGCGTACCCTCAAACTTGTTCGCAGAGGTCTCTTTTCTTTATCCATTCGTATTCTAGCCGCTCCTTTTGTATTCATTTTCATTTGCAAGCGTTAACCATAAATAATCAAATATTCTGTTCTTTCAGCCGCTCAACACAAATGCTTAAAGAGAGGAGTGAAGGAGGTGGTTAAAAGCATTAGGAGAGGCCATAAAGGGTCTGTTTTCTCATTCTCTTCCACAAATCTTATCTCTCATACAACAACACTGTTGCAAATAATAGATTCAATTCCCAGCTCTTATTTTTCATCAATGCAGACTGTGTGTTATAGCTGGGAACATATCACCGATTGATGTCATCACTCATGTTCCCATTCTCTGTGAAGAGTCTGAAATTCCATACATTTATGTCCCATCTAAAGAAGTACGCCACCAACTTTATCTTGTGTCTTTGTCTTTGTATGTTTTATATTTTTATCTGTAGACCTCTTGTTTACCACATTCACAGTTGGGACTACCCCGAATTGTTCCCTTATGTTTTCAATCTTCTGATTTTTATTTTATTATTATAATTTATGAGTTATTCTCATTGATGTTTTTGCATAAGAAATATTGAAGCTCCCACCAGGAGCTACATGGACCTTCAGCTTGTTTAGCCAACACTAATGCAAATATCATAATGAATTAGACACAACCATATGTTCATAGGGGAACTTCGTAAATATAGATTTACAGAATCTCTATCATATTCTTCAACATAATAATGTTTGGCCTAGAAGAATATTCATCTACTAACCAACTGCAAGTTAAGAATAAACTTATTTTACCCCAATTTACGAAACCAAGGATCTTATTTGTCGCTCCTGCATATTTCAATTTTCAACTCAGCTGAAACTTTAAGGAAAGTTTTAAATCACACACATCTCCTTAAAGTACTCGCTGTATGATTTTTTTACTTTTGCAACCTGCACTATGTATCTACTATGTTGTCATTTCACTCGAGGGTCCATTTGTTCAATGGAGGGGAGGGGGGAGATTTAAACTGTGGGGAAGGGAAAGGAAGGGTAGGATTTTGATTAGATATCCTCTCTGGTTAAGAGGATGTGAGGTGAAGTAACCTTTTTCTTGTTTGTTTTACTTCAATATTTTTACAATTTGGATTTCAAAATACAGTAAGGTTATTTTTATCAATACACTTGAAAATTATTCAATCATCTCCCTTGCGAATCCACCAATATTGGAGGGAAACAAAAATTGGATGAGGGATTGCTCTCCTCTACAAATGTCATGCTCTTCTAAAAAGTGAACGTTTGTAAAAAACCCTCCATTTTCCTCCACCTAAACACTGTAAATGTGGAGTAGAGTAGGAGAAACGTTGACAATCTTTTAAAATTGCTGGTTATTTTCTTCATTCTATTTCACATATTTTGTACGACTAACTCCAATTACTATGCAAGTTCATTTAACTTTGTTGTTTGTATCCCAGGACCTTGCAGGTGCAGGAGCAACAAAGAGGCCTACGTGTTGTGTTTTGGTACAGACGAAGCCTGCAAAGGGTGAAATAGAGCAAGGAGAACAAGAGAAACTAAAGTCTGAATATGATCAAGTTGTATCGGAAGTTACTGAGGTTACAGCTTCACTTTTTTGAATCAAACATTCATGTAACTGTACTGTTTGTTCTGGATTAACATGTAGTACTGTACCTTACAACGAATTGATGCATGGATTTTATTATTTGGTCACAATTTTCTACAGTTTACAGGATTTAAGATTTTTCTTTCTTTCTTTCTTTTGTTCATTAATCATATCTAGAGTAGACGATGGATTGCCGAAGGAAATGTGTTTCTGAAACAGGCTAATTTATTGTTGAAAAGACTGGTTTTTTCATCATCCTCGATTACTGGATTTTGCTGAAGTTTTTAAGTTGGTCCTTTGCCTCTCCGTCTGGTTTTCTTCCGTTTTACATTATTACTAAAAAAATAATTTAATTTATAATAAATTAAGTTTAATATTTTTATATAAATTTTATAAAAAATAAATATTTATTATTTAATCATTTTTAATTGTTATTAATTAAGTACATATTATAATTTATACTAAAATATTTATTTAAAATAAATATTTAATTTTTTTTCTTTATATGAATATATAATATTTATATTATTATTACAATATTCAATCATTGTATTACTTGTTAATTATTTTTTAAGTTATTATTTTAAAATATAAAATATATAGTTTATAAGAAAATATTTAATAAGTTAATTTTTATTTAATTAGTTAGATATAATAAAAGTTTTAATTATTGATTTATTTAATTTTAAAAATATAATTATTTTATCAAAATTAAATTTTTTATATAATAAATAATAATAAAATTTAAAAAATGTAATAAAATAAATTTGAATAAAGATAATTTTAAAATAAAATAATATTATTTATTATTAAGATTAATTTAAAATATTTAATAAAGGATAAAGAAAAAAAAATTAATTTTGTATTTTTCAAATTAGTTGACAGATTAAGGAAAGTAAAAAGTCAATTCAAAACTATATTTATATCTTAAATGTGATAATAAATTGTTATCCTAAATTCTAAGTTTATACATACTACCTCATTTCAATGTTCATTCTATCACACTAACAAATACGTTGACGATAATACACTAATAAAAAGAATTAATGGTTAATAAAACTAACAGATTATAATATAAACACAAATTCACATACTACAACCTAAAAGCTTTACCAATATTGTCCTTCTTTTTCACAAAATAGTAACAAGTACTCAAAACACAACAAATTTCACACTGTAACATTTTTAGTTTAAAACATAATTTTATTGACCAAGTTTTTCATATCGTTTTCGAAGTACGTTGATTCTTAAATTTGCACAAAATTCTACTTCTCATAAACTGACAATATTTAATCCAACTCACCCAAACACTAGTTTCCCACTTGAATCCCAATGCAAGTCTCCGTTACACCTAAAATAATCAAATTTAGGTTTACAAACACTCACATCAAGACTATCAACTTGTATCATATGAAATTATTTCTTTTGCTCTATGTATGTAAATAGATTAATAAAACAATAATTTTTAATATTAAATTTTTAAATCATAGTAATTTTTTAAAAATTACTATAATATTAAGGGTAAATTTAGACGTGTATTAAAAGTTATATTTGTGATCAAGTAACAATTTAGTTTTAGAACTATTTGAACTTTTATCATAGGAATTAAAATATTTGTAGGCGCTTTAATTTAATTGATAATCTAAGATAGAGTTATAAAAAATAAAAAAGTAATATAATTAAGCAAGTTAATTAACATTTAATTAATATATTGGCTTAAGAAACATTCGTTGGCTAGTGACACGAGTCTTTTAATCGATTGGGAATCCTAATTATGTTATTTTGCCTATTGAATAAAATGATTTAGAGTTTTTAATGGAAAAATTTGACCACGAAGCAAATTGTTAAATTAATCCCAAATTATATTATATAAGTTGTTTATTGTATTTTATTAAATACATATTGCAATTTTTAATAATGCTAATGAAATTGAACCCAAATGATTAAGTTCCTAAATGTAAATTTTTTAATTTATTTATTGCACATGGAAAATAATAATAAAAACTAGGAAAATATGGCAAAAAGTAATGGAAAATTAAAGTGAATTTAAAAATAAAATCTCTATATATAAAGAATAAATCAAGTAAAACTTCAAAAGATATATTTCTTATTTGCAATTTTTAGTATTTTTCATAAACAACTCACTGTTAACCGTTACCTTTCAAAAATAATGTATTGTAAAAAATAAAGATGAATATTAAAAATAAATATATAATTTTTTTGAAGTAATTTGATATTTAACTCTTCAACGAAGCCTTTATTGAACTTGTTGTGTTTTTAAAAAACAAAAAACAAAAAAATAAACAAACGTTTTGTTATGGTTGAAATTCGCGTGTTGTTTTTCTTCATGTTCATGCGACTGATATATTCACCCAACGGTTGAATTAGTGAATCATTCTGAACAAATTATTAATGGAGGATTATGTTGCCACATTTTTGTAATTAGGTGCATATCCAGAGTTAGTATTATTGGGTTTATTATTAATTATTTTCACACCATCGATTTTAAATTTTGATATTGACTCTTTAACATTGGGATTAAACCTAAGTTGGGCAAGTGTCACTAAAACAAAACACAAATATGGTGAGTTTTAAAAATTTAATTAAAATAATATGAAAATATAACTTTATAATATTATCTAATGATAAATTATTATGTAATTCAAAACAAGTTTAAGTTCATGCCAACAGTAAAAAAAAAGTTGAATTCTTTAAATATGTGGTATGATTTTTCGTAGTAAAAAAAACATAATAAGTAAGATGTGTTGGAATAGAGGAAATTGATTTAAGTGATGTAATTTCAAAATTATGTTGGATAACTAATAAAAAATAATTTTATTAATTTTGATAACAATAATTTCGTAAATGAATTTTAATAGTTGACGTTTAGATATCTCGCTATTTAGTCATTAATGAAAATAATTAATATATAGTAGAATTTAGTGATTAAAAGTAAAATCGGTATTAGAAGATGGAAAAGTAGGGAATGTGTGCCTGAAATAAACGGAACAGGCGTTCGGCTGAGAATGGAGCGATCCAAGAGAGGTGTTGGCTGGTAAGAAATTCTGAAACCCGGAATAATTTATAGGAGGAGGAGTTGACGCTTGCAAATTACGAATCTCATTGCTCCCAACACAAATAACGTGAAATCAGGTATTCGAAAATCACATTTTGGACACCTGATTTCAGTGCTTTTCTTAATATTGAATCTGTCGTGAACAAACAAACAAACACAACACAGAAACACACACGCAGGGAGGGAGCGAGCGAGAAGGGAAAGCAAATGGGGTGCTCATTCTCCGGTTTAAACGCGCTCTACGACTCCGTCAACGGCGGAGGCGATGCGTGGATCAACGAGAACCGTTTCCGCATCGTGCGCCAGCTCGGAGAAGGGGGCTTCGCCTACGTCTACCTCGTCAAGGAGCTTATCAACGACTCTGCCGCCGGTGGCCTCGCCAAGAAGCTCAAACACTCCTCTCATCTCTCCGGTTCGCTTCACTCTTAATCTCTCTCTCTCTCTCTCTCTCTCTCTCTGTCTTTTGTGTTTCGGTTTTTTTATCCCTTCCGGAAATTAACCTTGTTAGACCGTGTTGTAGCCTGATCTGATTGATCTGTGTTGTTTTCTGTGTTCTTACGTGTGGTTTGCTCGATCTGCAATGGCAATTCCTTGGCCAAATGTTATAATCGTTTATTCGTGGAGATTTAATTTTGGATCTGTTTTAGTTAGTTTCGGATTCGAGCTTGTAGTTTTGGAATGTTCATCGAATCCAGGCGTTGCAGCCCGTGGCTTGTTCGAGGAGATTGTTGTGCAATTCTGTTGATGTGTGGCGTTTGATTAGTCTTGTTTTGTGGCTATTGAGAAAGTAATTTTAGTTTATGAATCGAGCTTGTTGTTGTTGAATATTTATTGAATCCAGGCGTTGGAGCCAGTTGGTAATTGATTTGGCATTTAATTTAACCCGCTTCTTTCAACAGTTTAAAATTGGGGATTCTGTAATGATGATGGAGCGAGTTCAATTTCGATTATCAGTGAGACGAAGAAAGTGGCGCGTTATTGTAGAAACTAAAATAATTCTTTTGACGTTTTAAAGTAAAATTTAAATAGGTGGTACCGTATGGTTCTGTGGGTTGAAATGAATTCCTTAACTATACTGTCTCTTCTCTCCAGATGATGGGACTTACGCTATGAAAAAGGTCCTCATTCAGAACAATGAGCAGCTGGAGTTGGTCAGGGAGGAGATCCGTATTTCATCATTGTTTAATCATCCCAATCTGCTCCCACTTCTTGATCATGCTATTATTTCTGTTAAGGTATGTAGTTTTTTTGCAGTCAACCCCCGCTCTTTATTACATCACACTTTATATTTTTTTTTCCCGGAAAAAACGAAGTTTGTTAACATAAGAGTGTCACTGATTCAGGTAAGACACTCGTCTCTCTCTTCTTCTTTTTTTTCGGATTTTCACTTAAAAATTTGTTCCCGGACTACAACTATGTAATTTGCTGTATTATATCCCTAGGTCTTGTCTGAAAAATGCCATCTTGCATAGACTTGGAAGTTTTTGAAGGGTTTTCAATTTAGTAGTTTGTATTTCCAAAATGTTATGGATGATAGCCAACACTTATTCCTCTCCTTAGTGGCATCAGATAGCTTTTTTAGGGTTTCTGTTTTTAATGCCAGAAATTTGTTTTTAAAAATTGTATTTAAAAAGGCCTCTGTTTGTTAAATGAAGTCACTAAATTCTAGGCTCTACTAATTTGCTGCTAGGATTTGTAATGTTAAATGGACAGTACTTTACAATCTTAATTTATGTTTATGACATCAGTTGTTTATTGTGATTGAACATTTGAGCTATATCAGAACACTGAAATTTTTAGGCAATAGAAGATCAGTAGACATTAATTTCTGATATCCTCTTTCAATGCTGAGAATTTTTAGAATTTTGTGTATGTGTATTTTTGATATATGAAATATATCTTATGTGGGCATGTTTCTTACTTATGTACTCTATGTATATATAAAGTAAAAATATGACACAATATCAAATATTATAATATCTTAATCATAGTTACCTAAATCAAAATAATAACCTAATATCTTTTTTTCTTATTCTAAAAGATAATAAAAATCACTTAATATCTTTCTCAGTTTTACTTGTCTTGGATAGCTACAATGATAATATATTAAGATACGTGGTTGTGAAGAGATTATCATGAGGCACCATTACAACTTTTATGATAGGTAAAGGGTGAATTTTGTCATGTCATGGCCAAGTTGGCTCCATTGTATTATTCTACAATTTTGTAATTTGATTAAGTCTGTCAGAGTAATATTTTTTTCTTCTGCCATAATATATATTTTCTGAAAGTATAATGTCACTAGTCACTACCAATATATTTGAATAGGAAGAGGTATCGAGTACAATACAGTCATCCATATATGCAGTCAATTTAAAGTTTCTGTTGATTTGCTAGGTTCCTTATGTGTCCTGTATGGGTACAAAACACATGTGTTGTCAAAATTAAAGTATCTATATATCAGAGCTACCAATGATACTGTTTTACCCAACTTGTATCCATTGTTGCAGCACAAAAGCTAGTTTTTTCTTAACATGGTTGGGAATTGTGTATGTTGTGTGATGTGGCAGTGATAGTTAGTTCCTTAAGGATTCTAATCTATTAAAAGTTGTTAAAGTTTCAGTGGGAATAAAACTATTTTTAGTGTGGGAATGTGTAGATTTTCTCATTTCCCCGACAAGGATTTGGCTTAATGGTATTCCTTCTGCTGTGTCAATGCTCGGGCTTCTATATATACATTGAAGATGTACTTCTTGTTTACAGCCTACCCAAGAAACATCTTGGAACCATGAAGCTTACTTGCTATTTCCAGTTCATTTGGATGGAACATTGCTAGACAATGCCAATGTAATGAAATCCAGGAAGGAATTCTATTCCACCTCAGATGTACTTCAAATATTCCGTCAGGTATGAACCATCTTTCTATTATGCATTTTGCAATTATTGTTGCAGCTCAAAAATTTTACCACTAGATCTCTTGTTTGACTTATATCATATAGACTTTCTTGAATTCATATATACTTACACATAACTAACTTATTTTTATATTAACCTAGCAATTCTTGTGACATTGAGTTATCTGCTGTTATAGAAATCATTTTGTAAAGAAGAAAACAGAATTTTTGGTCTGTTTCTTTAGAATCCGAGGAGCAAGTTTTTTTGCCTTTAAGTTTCAATATACTTTTTTGTTTTTTCACATTTTAGGCTTTAATACTGCATTTATTTAATTTGATTTATTTTGTTCTGAAACTCTTTTAACCCTGTAAAATCAACAGCTTTGTGCAGGACTTAAGCACATGCACAGTTTTGATCCTCCTTATGCACATAATGATGTCAAACCTGGTAATGTTCTCATAACACGCAGAAGAGGGCAACCACCTCTTGCCATTCTGATGGATTTTGGCAGTGCTCGTCCTGCAAGGAAGCAAATTACCAACAGATCCGAGGCACTCCAATTGCAGGTGCTTCTTTCTCCCCTTTCCTTTTTTATAAAATTCTTAGAGTAATTCAGATTGAAAAAGTTAAACTGTAAATGAAGTTTTTCATTTCATTTAATACGCCAAAAACAGAATACAGAGGGTATAGTTGTGAAAGGCTGATGACAGAAAAACAAACTTACAGTTGGCACAACAAGAGAATATTATAGAATGATAAAGAAAAAATGAAAAGTAATATTTTTCATATTACACGTTTATACACTAGTATTTTTTTATTGATAAAGATTGTCTTTTCATTTTAATGTCTTAGAGCTACCACTAGGCATGGCAACGGGGCGGGGCGGGGGCGGGTTTTGTCTCCCCCGTCCCCGCCCCCGACTTTTTTAACCATCCCCGTCCCGCCCCGATCCCGCCGGGGTTAGGAATTAAGTCCCCATCCCCGTCCCCGCTGGGTTTCGGGTTCCCGTCCCCGCCCCGTCCCCAATTTATATTATTTTTAAAAAGATAATTATATTTATAATTTATAGTTATTATTAATTAAATATACATTTTAATTTATTATATTTATATTAAAATATATATGTAAAAGAAATATTTAATTATTTTTTATTTATATATATATATATATATATATATAATATTTATAACATTATTATTATTATTATTATAACACTGTATTCAAATATTTGAATATTTATAACATTATTATTATAATACTTGTATTCAAATATTTAATTATACATATAAGTTAATTCATTTTTAAGTTGTCAATATATAGTTTATAAAAAAATATTTAATAAGTTAATTCTTATTTAATTAGTTTGAAGTAATAAAAGTTTAAATTATTAATTTCTTTTAATCCTTTAAAATGCAATTATTTTATTAAGATAAAATTTGATATATGATAAATAAGCATAATAAGATAAAAAAATATGGCATAATAAATATAAATTATAAATAAACTAATATTAGTTACTACTAAGATTGATGTAAAATATTTAGAAAAAGATAAAGAAAAAAGATTAACTTTGTGTTCATCAAATTGGTTGAAAAGATTGAAAAAAAAACAAATTGATGGGAGAGACTAAGAAAATGTGAAAAACTGAAAGATAAGGGAGAGAATAATATAATAAATTAATTGATATAAAAGATTGAGAAAGATAAAAAAAATTAAAAAGTGGGTAGAAGAAAAATAAAAATTGGTGAAATATAAAAAAATAACCTTATATGTAATAGAAAAAGAAAATGGAATACTTTTAAAATATTAATATTTTAAAATTTAAATTTAAATATAAAGTCGGGGCGGGGACGGGGGCGGGGCGGGGTCGGGGTGGGGATTGCATTACCCATCCCCGCCCCCGCCCCCGACTTTTTAAAGCGGGGAAAACCCGAACCCGACCCCGCCCCCGGTCAACTCGGGGTTTCCCCGTCAAACTCGGGGCGGGGACGGGTCGGTCCCCACGGGTACGGGTTTAATTGCCATCCTTAGCTACCACTTCTTGCAATCCTGATAATTTCTTTAGCACAGTTCTGAATCTGCTCTGTTTAAAAGTATATCATATCATATTTAGAATGTTTTAATGATTTTTGCTCCATTTGTAGTTTCTGAATTCAATTGCCTAGTATGATAGGTATACATCATCAAGATGGTATTTGTTCAATTTAATCTGTTGCTATACATTAACTGGTTTGTAAGTTGCATTAAAAAAGTTCAATTGCTTAGCTTATGTTTTCATTTTAACAATGTTAATTCTCTAAGTTGTTTTTTTATATTTTGAATAAGTTTTGCAAATCTGAAGGATAAAAGTTTCATGTCAGTCACCTGGCTAACCTGCCAAATTGCTACTTATCTTCATATATAGGAATGGGCATCCGAACACTGCTCTGCACCTTTCCGAGCTCCTGAGCTATGGGATTGTCCAAGCCAAGCTGATATAGATGAGAGGACTGACATTTGGTCACTAGGATGCACATTATATGCGATAATGTGAGTACCAATCCTTCTTTTATGTGATTTAGCTAATTTTTTTCATGATTATAACTTTTGCTAATTGTGCCTTCATACAGCATAATTACCAATATTTTGGTAATTCTTTTATGGTTTTCTTTTTAAAAAAAAAAAAAAAAACTCAAAATCATGTTTCATATGTGCAATGCCTTTGATTTGGAACCCTTGATGTGACGCATATAGATCCTACAAATTAACGTATAGACTATAATTTTTTAAATAGCGTGAAGAAGATTGCGTGTTTTAAGTGGTTTCCAAGGTTATTGTATGACCATCCCCAACCAATCTCATATTTAATGGATGTGCAGTATGTTGTTTTATGGTGAAAAAACAAAGTATGGTGAATTCACATTTCTTGGTTCCGATAAAATAAGAGAAAAGAAGGGGGAGTGGGAGAATAAGTTATTTTATTTACTATGCCCTGGCCAATTCTTGTCGTAATAGATGTGTCACTAAGAGCATCATGCTCGAAAATGGGCGACACCAACTGCTATTTGGTTTATTGGCAAATTATACTAATGAGCCAGAGCCACGGGTTCAATATTGTGGTATATTTGTGTAGAAGAAAGTTAGAAAACTTATCACATAATATTATTCTGCATAGACTATTGATTTGAAACAATACTCTCATCGAATACTATGTGTGTTTTTGGCTTATGTTACTCGAATTCCAAGGTGTGGTTAAACGTAGAAGATGTGAGAACATGGATTGAAATGAACGATCGTTTGAGTTGTTGGAAAGGAAATCCAAGCACAGTATTTCTGCAAGTCTGGCATGAAATGAAATCTTTTAGCTATGCACACTAGTTTGGCTTTGTTGTCCTAGGTTGTTCCCTTGGCAGTATTCATTGATTTGGCTCAACGAACTTCATGCACTAGCTCTATCACGAAGATTTTTATCTGTAAATGTTTTAGTTTTTTCTTCCGTGCGTGTTGTGTTAGAGTTGTATCATGGCAGATATAGTTCATGTTTAATTTTTTATTGTATCTCCGGATTTAATTTTTCAGGTATGGGGTATCTCCATTTGAATATGCACTTGGAGAGTCTGGTGGAAGCCTGCAATTGGCTGTTGTAAATGCTCAGATCAAATGGCCAGCTGGACCTAAGCCTCCATATCCGGAAGCTTTTCATCAGTTTGTGTCGTGGATGCTTCAGCCGGTTGCTATGAGGCCCCGGATAGATGATATCATTATCCATGTGGACAAGTTGATTGCTAAGTTTTCCAATTGAGTTACTATGTAGAAGGGAAAAGTGGTGCATGAGATTATATATTGCAGTCGTTTAAAGATTTGGTGTGCATTTACTGTCCGGTTATATGTTAATGATGATGGATAGAAAAGCACTGGCAATTCCTGGCCTGACGAAGTTAACCTTATATGTGTATCTTCGTTTTTGGTGGTAGTCTAGGTAGTCGGTCGGGCGTTGGCTTTAAAAGGTCTTGTTTCTGTCATTTCTACATAATTTTGTTTCTTGTAATTTATGAAATGGCCAATCTCCCTGTGTCTTCAGGATTTATCAATAAATAATATGTATCATTTATTTATTGACGTTCTTTCTTCATATATATAATATATATCGCATGCCTTCGATGAGCGACTATCACGATTCGATAGCGTTGGAACGAGGATCTCAATTCAGCTTTCTTAATCACTCACTTTATACCGGATTGGATCCTCCTTATCCAATTCACTCATTTTCGAATGCCCTTTCTGGAATATAAAATATATATATTCTCAAAATTTCATCATGAAATAAATGAAAAATTATTCAAAAATTAGTGGCATGAAATAAGTTAAAATTTCTACTAATTGTTTTGATAATTTCAAAAAATTGAGCCATTTTAGAAATCAATTCATTTAGAGCTTGTTTATTTATTATTTTTAAAAATATTTTTTAAAAACAAAAAAAAGTTTAATAAATGTTTTCTTAAAATTATTTTCAAAAATGCTATATTTTAGTTTTTAAAACTAAAACTTAATATTTGATAAAGTATATTTGTGTTTTTAGTTTTTTAATTTATATATATATATATATATCAATTTGTTGTGAAATTGTTAAAAATCGTTTTTTTATATCGTTCATGTTATTTAAAATAATTTTAAATTAGAATTATCAATTTATTCTAAAAAACTTTCATTTAATACTAATTACTAAAAGTCCTTAGTTTCTTCTAATCTTAGTTGGAGCATTAGTGAAGTTATGAATCTTGAGACTCTGAACTGGTTCCTACTACTGGAATTTTCAAAGACGCCATTGTATCCCTTGTCTCAGAGTGAGCTTAACAGAAAAGTGTTTAAATTTACTATTTCATGCAAAACTCAGATCCCCCTTGTTATCAAATATCAAGTGATCAAATTTCCATTAAATCTGCTTACAACACTATTTCTTCAACCAGTCATAACGCTTATTCTAGTCTGATTAAGTTCCAATCAAAGTTACTATGCCTCTATCGTTTACGCTGGGCTATAGCAACCCTTCCTGCATGTTGGAAAGAGCTTCATCCAAACACAACAAGAATCCGTCTACACCTCAAGAGTAAAATCAATTCTTTTTACATTTACCAATTTATTAATGATTACTTTTTATTAAAAAATTTAAATTGACCATTTTTAATAACATCTTTCATCTCAATCACATTTAACAAGATCTATCCCATCAATATTACAATATTGAGTTCAGACCCACGATTCGTTGATAGTGTCATGATAATCAAGATCATGTAACCAACACTCTTTTCTGCCTTCTCTATGAAACTTATATTCACTACAAATCTATTATTAGGAAAGAAGAGATCGAAGTGGGGAAAGAATATGATATCTTCAGTTTTTCCAACGCCTCTAAGGTGTGTGCGTATTCCTCTCAGTAAATAATTTTAGTAGAACAACTTTCAAGTTTGTACAGTCAAATAATTTTACTAATCAATGGCAAATCATATTATAAATTATTTATAAACTAGTTATTGTAAAAATTCTGTAGACTCATACTATACACTATTTTATCTTATTATTATTTTCTTTTATACATTTTTTCCAATCAAACCATATAACCTATAAATACATTTTTTTTCTCCTCTACCTCTTTATTTCATTAGATTCCAATTATATGATAAAATTAATTATACGTTTTCCAAGGTCCAACTATCATTATTTTGTGAAATTTATCACCTAATTTTTCTTAGGTATTTATCATGCTTTATTTAATCTTAACATATTTTACTGATTTACATGCGTCAAAAATGTTATATCATTCTCGTTTTCTTTTTCCTTTTTCTACGTTACATAAGCGGACAGGTAATACATATATTTTAAAAATAATATAAAAGATAAATTTCATTAAATAATAACAAAAACAATTGAATGATGAAATATATATACAAACAAAACTTCGTTTTGGAGTTTTGCTTGAATCCATTGTCTGAATGGACAAATATTTATGCATTAGAATCGTTAAAAAAAATCAGATAATGGATACATTTATCCGTAACAAAAATTCAAAATTTTCAAAACAAGTTTTTGTGTACCCAATCTAATGTTCAAATCAACGTCTCTTGGATTTATGATAAGGCAAACATCACATTTATCATCATCCAAACTACAAAATAGAAAGAAAAGGTACCAATATTTAATCTTACACTGATTTATTTTATTTTCTTAACCTTTATTTCCCCCTAAAGTCGCGCCAGAATTTTGTCAAACCAAAATTATAAATATAAACTATGTAAAGATTCTATTCCATACATTTAAAAAATAAATCTTGCATAGTCTTTCAAAATTGTAAAAATAATCTTCCAAGTTCCAAAACCTTCAGTTACCCTGTATTGAGATTAAACAATTCGTCTCCATAACCACCTATAAAAATTCCCATTAATTACTAGTAGAGCAATAACAAGAAAAAGTTAAAGATAGAAGTTAGTCGAGTTGTGTAAAAACAAAGTTTGGTTGAGTAGATATATATATATATATATGTATATATAGAATATATCTTACGTTGGATTTCTATTTGAGTTTGAAAAATCTTTGAAATCAACGAGGCTTACGTTAGAAGGATAATAAATCGAGTTAGAAAATGAATGATACGCTGGTTAACAATGAGACGGGGAGGTTCGAGTGGAGTTGGAACTCCTCAGCGTCATTCTTGTACGGTGGACTTGCTCCAATTTTTGGAGTGGTTTTGTTGGCGTTACTTGTGGTGGCGTGTTCACGGCGTCGAAGGTCTCAAACACACGGTGGTGACGAGAGCAGGTGGAGAGGGGTAACAACCGCACAAGGTGATGAAGAAAACCCTAACATTTTGGTAATCGTTGCCGGAGAAGACCACCCCACTCATTTGGCCAAACCCCTCTCTTCCACTCATCACGTGTGAGTTCTTCGTATCTCTTTTACTTCCATCACATTTGTATTTAAATATCTGCTTTCTTTCTCCTTCTTCTTCTTTTTTCTATGGAAAATGCTGATCGATCCGTGCAATCTACATTTATTAGAAGGCGTTTGGTAGAAGTTTTTTTTTTTTTTTTTTAACTTTCTCGGAATACGAAGTTAGGAAAATAAGATTTTCACATTTGGTTTATGATTTAAAAATAATTTTCTAGAAATAAAGTTTAGTTATTTAATTTAGTAATAAATTAAATAATTCAACAAAAGTCCTACGTTATATTCTGATTTTTTTCAATTACATAATCAGTTTATCCATTATAGTTTTTAAGATTTATGATTTTGGGATATGAAAAAAATTGCCTTTTACCAAACGCCTTCTTGTAGAGAGGACAAAAAATTTATAGGAAAATTGTACCTAATATATGTTTATTAAAAATGTGTATATATATATATATATATTTTTTTTTTTTAATACATGTATATTTACACACAGTGTAATAGCGGATGACTTAATGATTTTCTTGTGATTTGATTTTATTTAAAATAAATTAAATTTTAAGTTTTATGTGGATTAAATATAATAAAAATTATTAATATATAAATGGAATATAATTTTTAAATTAGTTATAATAAGATTGAATTAACCTGATGAAACATTTTATTATAAAGTTGGCATAACTCATTGAAGGAAATTTCTAAAAAATGACGATCATTACGCGTCGTTGGCTAATCCTCAACCACGAAAATATTCGTAGAAAAATAATATGTTAAAAGTTTTTACAATGAAATTGTACAGATAAAAAAAAAACCATTGGAATCCTAGAGCTTAAAGCTAGTGAATCTTTTTAAAACCTAAACAATCAATAATTCATTGACAATAATTAAATTACTTTAGCTGCAGATTTATTGTTACCATTATAATGTTCAATATTATATTGTACTTTTTTACATCTTAATTATGAAAGTAATATTTTATAATGTTTTGTAACCTGTCTTAAAAATTTTATTTAGTTATTTGTTATCGTAATAATAATAATAACTAGTTATTTAAATGCAAAATCAATTCCAATTAATAACTTCATGTTTTTTGTGTCTTCAAATTGTATGTTTTTTTTTTGTGCGTGTATTTTTCTCTATATAAATTTTGATTAGTTTAAGTTTTATGTAGGGATGGTATATAAAGTTTTTATTTTGAATCGATTAAAAAATTACATGAGAAATTATTTTTAAAGTATTTTTTGTAAAGATATATAAAGTTCCGTATTTTTTTATTAAAATATCAAAACTAATATATATATATATAATATTTTTTATTAGTTTTTTATAAGAATTAAAAGCTTTTAAACATAGTATAAAATTTGGGCCAAACTGACCAATTTAATTAGGATTTCGTGTACAAATCAGACTGGATTAAAAATGATCAAACCTGAAATACATTTGATTAACTTGATTCACGAAATTAATCCAAAATCCGATAAGATAATCCAGTTATTATTATTATTATTATTACACTTTTGAACTTATTTATAACTTGTTAATAAAATGCTACCGTTTAATTTTTGTTTATAAAATTATTGTTGTTAAAAGTGTTATTTTTTATATTAGTTATTTTATTATAAATTATAATAATATTTCAAAATTTAAACTATGAAACTGTATTATCTTGAAATTCATTTGTTATTTAATATATTAGTGTTATTATAATAAAAAATTAAAATTAAAAATTTTAAATATACTAAATATATATAAGTATTATTCTATTTTATTTTTAACAAAAACCAGATTAATAAGAGAAGCGATTTTCACTATACAAACTTTAAGTTTAAAGCCAAATATTTTGATCAATATTATTTGTTGGATGCAAACAAATATCAAGAAATTCCAAAAGGTAATTTGTAGAATGAAATGGACCAGGGATTGCTTTGAATCAAGGTAATGCATGATGGACTGTGACTCTTCATAAATTCAAAGTTTTCCATATATAATCAAATTCTTCAATGATGCTTGTTTTTTTGGTTTTTTAATAATAATAATAATAATAATAATAATAATAATGTTTGCTTTTTAATCAATAACTTGATGCTACCTATCTGTTTTGTTACAGCATATTCAAATCAGCATAATATAGAGAGAGAGAGAGAGAAAAATTGTTTTAAAATTGCGACAAATTTATAAAAAGTTTTTTTCCCTTTATTTTAGATAGTATTTAGAAAAATTATGTTTATATTTATGGTTTACAACTTGGATTGATTAGTATAAAACTTGTCCAATTTTTCTTTTTCCCTACAAAGTTATGGGTTCTTTTTCATGAAAATATTAAAAAACTTGTATATTATATTATATATTATCATATTTAATATTTATATTTTTTGTATAAATGATAAAATGGAAAAATTAATCTCATTTGCATCCATAGGATGGGACATGCTATACGTAATTTATTATGGTTTAACTTATACCATAAAGAATGGGTTGACAAATTAGTGGGTTCAACGCCAACTTTTTATATATTATTTAAATATAATTAATTATAGGAATATTTTTTTATTAGATAATTTTAAAAAATATATTTATTTATTAAAATATTTAAGTATAATGAATAATCTATTCATAATTTATTAATAATTATAAATTAAATTATAATTTTATAAAATATTTATATTTTTTAATAATATAATAAAAAATTAATACTTTAAATTATGATATATATATATATATATATTTTTTTATTTGTCACGTAATTATACAGAATGAATTTAAATAGAATAATAAATTAAAATATTCAATATAATTTGCGTTTTTTAAAGCCAGAGCAACTCAAACTACATTATTACTTCTATTTATATTATTAAATTTACTTTAAAAAAATATTTTACTACAAATTAAGTCTGAATTCAATCCGTAGTCTTTTTGTTACTAAGTCCAAATACATTTTTTAAAATTGATTAAAGTTAATTATCAATATTAAAAATTTTAGAATAAATTATAAGAATCTACAAAATTTTATATTGCTACTGTACAAAAATAATATTAATTAACAAAAAATAATTATTAATAGTTCGTTTGATTAACAAAAGAAAAGACTTAGAGGACTATAACCCAAATAATAGACAATAATTAAAACTTATTACTTAAGAATTATGAATAAATTGTTTTCTAGTACAAAATAAATAAAAATCTCACCTTTGAACAGCGCTTACAATGCTCATGCTCCACAAATGGAAATACTTTGTTAAATCGTGAATACAAAGAGGTTTTTTCAGCCATGGTAAACAAATAATAATTTTATAAAGGGGTTAACAAATTATAAATTTTATTAAGAAGTCAATGGTAAAATGTTATCTAACACAATTTTTTTTTTAAACGTGTTTGGTAACTCGACTTTGTATAATTTATAAGCACAAGTTTCATATTATTTATAAAATTTTTATTTTTTTAAATATATTATTTATTAAATAGTTAATTTTGATTTAATTTTAATTTATTAGAAAATAAAAATATTTAGATAACATAGATAAATTTAATATAATATATTTATACTAAAATATTAGATTTAAAAAAAATACAAATTTATTATATTATATCCTTTATTTCAACTTTAAAATATAGGTACTCAATTTTAATTTGAAAAACAAGTTTTTCATATATTTATTTTGATTCCATATGAAACAAATATGTTTATAGCTCTTCCATAACAAAGTTAGTACATAATCAAACATCTATCATGACTAATATATCTATTATATCTCTGATTATAATAAAAAAAAAGCATTCTTAACTATCATAAGATCGTAAACATATTATATAAGCATAACAAACACTTACTCATTACCAACTATATAAACCAAGACTTGTGGAAAAATCATACCATTTATTTTTTAGTTAAATAATAATTAAATTGAAATTAATTATTTAAAAAATAAATTAAAAAATACGAAACGTGCTAAAAAATATGAGTTCAGTATGATAGAAATTATATTCTACTTATATTATCAAAATACTTTTTTTTTTTAAATCAAACAACTAAAAAAATTTGTTACATACCACCATTTTAGTATTGATCTGATTAAAACTCGTCCACCTTATACAGTTTGATCAATTTTAATAAAATTTTAAAATTTTTATCTTTAATAAAATAAATATTTCTTTTACATGGCGATTAAAAAAAAGCCATATAAAGACAAGTCTAAAGTTTTTTATTGTTATTCTGTTAATAGATACATGCAATCAAATCAATTAACATGTTTTTTGTTTGTACACGGTTGATTATTTGGCAAATATACTAAAATTATTAATGACACTATAATATTTCAATTAAATAAAAGTCGATCACACGAGAAACGATTTTAATGAAAATTCCAAATCATATGCTTACTAAGTAAAGTAAAACAAAATTTGTTTTTCATAAATATATGGCTTGAAAATAAATGACAAAAAACAAGTGCGTTTAGAAAATATCAAATAAAAGAACTTAGGATTGACTTCCTTCCTTTTCCCTATTTTGCATAATAGCTAGGTCAAATTAAGAACATCAATTAACCTATCAATGTTGGTACCCCTACTCAAATCATTAACTTTGATTCCTCGCATGTGAAATTCATAAGAAAATTTGATAAAAGTCGATTCTTCATACAATTACGAGATTTTTCAACATTAGGTTTAGGGTATTAAGCACTTGATACATTCATTCAGTTCCCTGTAATTAACATAACAAATATTCTCACCTGATATAGGGTTTCAAGATATATTTTTCAATCATATTCCAAATATCAAGAATAAATCATTCTAAAATTCAAAAGATAAGAATAATATCATCAAAACACGTATTATCTTTTTATAGAAAATATTGGTTCTAGACTCGCATCATTCGCTCAAGTGATCCATTATTTGCTTGAGTGAAAAACAACAACTTTCACTCAAGCGAAAGATGTCCACTTGAGCGAATAGAAACCTAAGAACTTTGTCGTATTTTTTCTCAAGCAAGACTAGGTGTCGCTTGAGCGAGTGCACACCCTAAGAGGATTGTCGTATTTTCACTCAAACGAGAGTAGGTGTTGCTTGAGCGAGTGCACACCCCAAGAGGATTATCGTATTTTCACTCAAACGAGAATAGATGTCGCTTGAACGAGTGCACACCCAAGAAAATTGTTGTATTTTTGCTCAAGCAAAAGTAGGTGTCGCTTAAACGAGTGCACACATGAAAGCTTTAACGTAACTCAAGCAAACGTAGATAATGCTCGAATAAATTATCTTCACAATTATGATCTTTGCTCAAGAACACAATTACGTTAACTTTTACCACTTAATCCATACTTACATTATATGTACCCACCAATATTACATACCAATTTGCAATGAACCTTTAACCTATCAGTCTCAATTGTTTAGTTATATTATTTGCCATGGTTTGCTTTAGAAAGAATATAGTAAACTAATACATATATAACATCGCCTTTATTGTGAACATACAGATATGTCTATGGTCAAACGAACAATATGCATGTACGTGATCTTAGAGATGTTGCGTATGACCTTCCAATTTGTTCACAATTGTCAAAAAAAAAATACACCTTTCCGCATTTTGTGGGAGTATGAAAAAGTAAGGTTGTTACAATAAATAATTTTTTAAATGTGACGTAAGAACAAACGTCAAGAAGATCTAGTTCAAAATACGATTTAATATTAAAAATGATAAAATAAATTAAATTTTATGAATCGATTTATAAATGAATTTATAAATTCATTTTAAAAATAATAAGATAAGTGAATAGTTTTAATTAGATAGTTTATCTTAACTAATTAATTTTACCATTCATAATATTTAATTATATATAAAAGATCAAAAATTTTCAAACTCTTTATAAGGGGTAAAGAAAAGCATAGCCAAAATTACTTTGGATTGTGAAAAACTAATGATTAATGACCAAATTTGGATGAATTTTGGTTCTGAAACAACATGAGTCACCTTCAACACGAAGATTTTGTGGCTACTAACATTTACTTATTAATTTCTACAAATTTTACCTTTCATATGAATTTTTTCAAAGGTTAAATTTAATACGTACGCTGTTCTTAAACTTAAAATTCTTTGCTTTAACATACTCTGTTCCATTTTATTTTATTTTGCAAAATTTATACCAAACAAGTTTACTTGCGTTTCAATTTCGACTTCACGTATTTGAAAATAAAATACAGATGAAAAAAATGTTATATTTATAACAAAATACTTCTTGACTTTTTAAAACGTGTTTAAGTAATGTATTCTAATTAAAATTAGACTTTCATTTTGAACTCTTTACTCGTATTTATGTTTAACGTATGAATAATTGAAATTATACCACAGTATACTAAGACGTATTAAAATGGTACCGTATATATTAAACAGTTTAAGAAATGTGTACAAATCTAATTCGGTTTTATATTTTAAAATCAATTGTAATTTTAAGTGTGTCTGATCCTATGTCCATTAATGAATTGTTTTGTTATTTAAAAAAATGTAAAATGTTATTTTGAAATTAAGTTATAATAATAAAATTCATTTGAGTTATAATAATAAAATTATTATTATTATATATATATAATAATAAAATAATATATATTTTTAAATATATTAATTATTTTATAAAATAAAACTATTTATCAATATATGAATTAAGTATATTTATGAATATCATTCGATATAGATTAAGGATTTGAAACCCTAAACTGAATGAAAATTCAACGGTTTAATTAGACTTAATAAATAATAATTTTAAATATAAAATATAATAAATTCATGAATAATAATATTTTTTATAAAAAAATAATCAACAATAATAAAATTGTTATCATCATATAAGTTATAGACTTGTGATAAAGAAGATAAATATAAATTACAAGAGGAAGGGATGACAATGAGGTACAAATAATATCTACCCGTTACCGTTTAAAGAAAACTCAGTCCATTATTTATTAGGTGTTCACTTAACAAATATTTATTATTTGTGAGTATTCATGAATATTTTAAATATAATTATTTAAAAAATATAATCAAAATAAAATTAAAATTTAATATCAATAAAAATAAAAAAATCTTTATAAAATAATATTTTTAATAAATTATAGTATATTATTTTTTTAATAACTTTAATTTTATTAATTTAAATAAAATTACAATTTTATAAATTTTAATTTTAAATAATTCTTTAATCATTAATGTTTATTTTTACTGATAATTTTATTTAAATAACTTTATTTTTCTAAATATAAAATAAATTTATTTAGCAGATAACATGTGCATATTGATATTATAATACTCATATTCATTATATACTATGGTACTCGTGTGTATCCTTTATTTACACTTATCCATTTGTTTATCTATGACGAATTTTATCTAAGACATTAATTTTTAATCATTTTCTAAAGGATGAAAGAGTGATAATTGTAAAAATAAAATAAAATATAATAAAATAATTATTATTTAAAATTGATGGAATGAGATAAAATAAATAAATATTTTATAATAAAATTGTCTTTTATTTTTTTTAAATTATCGTTCAAATTATTTAAAAAAAAAATTGGTTTAATCCAAAATTGAACTAGTGGATGGGTTAAATTAGGCTATCTGATTAGGTTTTTAAAAGATTGATATTTGTACTACAGGTTAGAATAAAAAATAAATAAAAAATCAATTCAAGTCATGTTTTACTTTTCTGTTTTAATTCATTTTACATATATTTATCGTAACAAATCTACTTGGCATTCTTTTAATTTAGTTGTATTCACCTAGTTGTAAGAAATTTGCATACAGTGTTTTTTTTTTCCCCTGCAAATCATAGTCAATAAGTCAACAGAACGTGTTGTTCATGATTCTTTAGTTTTAGTTATCTGGGAGGGATTTCGGAGAGTACCAAACCAAGCATATGATTCATATAATAAAAAACAAATGGAATGAACAGATGACAACTGTACTTCTATTCGAGTAATGTGGCCAGTGCCTCACAAGTTATAGCAATGTCTAATGAAATCATATATCTATAAAGGGTTTTGATTTTTGAGTTTATCTAACTTTTTGACCCGGTTCAACAAACCAAAACCAGTTCATTGAATAAAATCATTACGTCTTGTACTCACGGATTCAAGTTAATAAATACGTTTTGGATTAAAATTAATAGTGTGTTATAGAATGTTAAACGGAATTCCTATAGGATAATCACTCAATAAATTTTAATAATTCAAATAACATGTGTTGTTTGTTAAAATAAAAATAAAAAATATTCTGCCGCCAGGAATGCTTCTAGGATCAATCAGCAAAGGATCAATCAGTTTTAATTTAGTAATGTTTTTCTGAGAAAGTATTCACATAACAAATTTAGATATTTTTATTTATTTATTTATTTTTATTTTGAAGTATTGTGTGTATACGACAAAGTATCCATTTTCTAATTTATGATTCATTGATGCATTTTTAATTTATTATTTTTATAAAGTTAGAAAAAAATCTTTAAAATTAAAACATGTGAAAATAAAAAAAAATTATATAAAGGAGATGAGAAAGATATTCTGTAAATCTCTATAATAAGTTTAATTTGTCGTGTAAGTTTCCTGTAATTTAAGGTTTTATGAATTGCCATATTTTAAAAATACTAACTAATGAAAATTTATTAGACGGTCCTTCCATCCCGCACGGTCGGGTAAGATACGTGAATTTTGCAGTTAAGTCCCTAAAGTGGTAATGGATAATTTGACTAAAATTATTTTATTTATTCTCACAATGCATTTACCTCGTCACAGGGTGGTGGGATCAGAGTAATTTATAACTCACAAAGCAATTTCAAGTCTAATTGATGATTATTAAGATAAAATGAGGCTTAACTATTTTGTGTACATTCTTTTTTATTGACCAGAGAGCTCTAATTCTGTGTTCGTAAACAGAAAAGTATCATTAGGGTGTGGGTGGGGCAGTGTTTGCAGAAGAAGAAGGAAAAACGTGGAGTATGTGGTTTCTCGTAACAGTAACTAGTATTGACCATCTTTATCTAGCCATGCAATCCTCAAAACATTCACCCAACACAACAATCTAGTCTTCACAAACTTGTCCCATAATAAAACAATTTTCTTGATACATAACATCATAAAAGCAAAACAAAACAAACTATCTTAATAAGTTGATCATTCCCACGACAGCCCAAAGAAGCAGAGGATTTTTGAAACAGAGAGGTTCCGTGGAACTGGAGTTGAAATTAGCCATTTATTTGTGGAAGTGAAAAAGTGGCGCTTGTTTGTGACGAGAGGACAAGGGAATTAAAGGTTGGAAAGCTGAATCAGGTAATGAACAAGGCCTCTTGTGTAGTACCTAAACAAAGGGGTCTTATATTCTCTCCAGTTTTGTAGCCTGTGCAATTCTGTAGCATTCCACCTATTATGCATTTAAATCCATCTTTCATATTTAATGACCTAGGCAGAGAAATAATGATGATTGCATCTTCTCTTATGGAACCCAATGACTGAGTGAACAACCCCTATGTCCTTTCAAATTCAAGAAAACTCTGGTATTTATGCTCTCTGAAGGCTAATTTCACTTTCATTGACAGCTTCTACCTGTCTGGTGCTGGGTAAGTCAGAGAATTAATGGGTCTTTAGATGCACTTCCAGGTGGTGTTGTGTGGTGAAGACATATCCCTATGGTCATTAAAGAAATTCTGAACGTTTGCTTTCATACTTAGATACATACATAACATATCATGACATAACATGTCTCTTTGTGAATAACTACAGTGGTGGTGTTTTCAGGTGTCCATAAACAGATACTACTTCTTGTTGTTAATTTCCTATTTAGGAGATATACATATACCCTTTCCCTGCTTTACCATTCTCATTCTCATTCTCCTTCTTCACACTCTCAGGATGGATCCATTAGGCGGAGAGGAATGTCACAGCAGTGAATCTGGATGGACCATGTATATTGGGTCCCCTATGGAAGATGGTGGACATAGCGATGATGGTGACAACAGTGACCAAGAAGGTATTCAAACTAATCCACAAGATGATGATGATGAAAGTGATGATTCTATGGCTTCTGATGCCTCTTCTGGGCCAAGTCATCTTGGGATTAATCATGGCTTTGGGGATTTTCAGCAAGATGCTGAAGAGGAATATGATGCAGACAAGTGTTGCTTACAGAAGAAAGCAAAAAAAACCCAACACAAGCAAATGGAAGGGAAAAAGGTGGAAAAAAAAGGGATGTTATTCGTTGATAGGAAAGATAAGCCTCCTGTTCAGGGCTGTGGCAAGGTGAGAAAAAATTACTTTGTGGAGAAAAGGAAAAAATAGGCCTATTTTCCTGCCCCACAACTTGTTAATTTGTTGCTTAGGTTTTCTTTTGAACTAAATTATTTATAGCTGCAAATACTGTTTTGCATTTAGTGATGGCCATGCCACTGCATTAGCTACAGCATGCAAGGATTTTAGGGTATGGATGCATATCTGGTTATTTCTAAAACATGTTGCTCAGATATGTACTTGTAATATGTTCCTGTTTGTATGCTATGAGGCATTTTTAGACTTTGATATTCGTAAAACAAGTCATAGGTAGAGCATCTCCATCCAATTACATCAGATTCCACCAAGTTGCAGTGAATTGAATATTTCTTTTTTTCGCATTTGGTTTGATTTAGTTAAGAGAGTAGCTTGAAGAGGAATTTTTGTCAAGAAACTATAAATCTTCATCTGTTCATCTTCAAAGGACCAAGGTTATGTGAAAAGTCTTTTTTCCATGGTTATGGCTACTGATTAATTCATACCATATTTATTGCTCAACAACATTGATTAATCCATACCAATATTCAGAAGAACAAAAAAAGTTTATAGTTATTGAAAGTGTGAACTAGTGGATACACAACCTCAAGTAACTTCTTAAAATTTACTCACCAACGTTGTGTAATTACTGAACAAACCAATCACACTCCACACATAGCACCAACTCCCACCATAGTCAAAACTAGGAAAACCAAATAGGTCTCACACATTACACAAGCCATCCACTAAATTTGCTGCATATATCAATATATCAACACAACATTGCATCATACCAATTCCAACATCAACCCCAAAAAACACTAACTTTGATCATGAACTATATATAAACCACGTCCCTCAATCTCGATTTGTGTTTTTGTCATCATACATAATTGTGATACATGATTTTGTTTGAATTATGACAACTTCAATAAAAGAACAAATATAGTTATTTATCCTACATCTCCATTATCTATAAATATCTCTATGAAAATAAAAACATATTACCTGTGAAATGTTTGTGACACGTCCCAAGAGCTAGAAGAATAAAAAATAGTTAGATATTTATATTATTTCTATTTCACTAAATAAAATATCTTATATAAAATATAATTTAAAAGATAATTTAAGGATTACAAATATTTAAATTATATAAATAATAATAAAACTAATAAAGTTAATCAACAATCAATACTAATTTTTAATATTATTATATTTTTGTCCATTATATCAGTTATTTGTGCCTTATTATGAATTATACGAAATTATCATTTCGTATTAATTAGAGTGTGACATTAAAAAAAACAATAATTATTTAAAAAGAAAAGAAAAGAAAATAATAGTCATTTAAAAAAGAAATGTATGTAGTATGTATATTTTTATTTTTATTTTCATCAATAATTATATATAACTATATTTAATGTATTATTGTTCATAATCAAATTAACCTAATTTAAAAAATTGACCAAATAAGAATTATGTTTAATGTTGGATGAACGTTTTTTTACTAAGTAATTAACTAAGTATCCAGATTAATATTGATTCACGTAAGTATTACTGATGTGTTCAATGTGATTCGAACTTTTAATAAAAAATAAAATTCATATCAATACTATGATTAAAATTATAATTTAATATTTTAAAAATATAAATTACTTGATAGAAATAGAGAACAACCCTGTTTTTAATAGTTTTGAACTTAAAGTATACATTATACACCTATTCATTACAAGAGTCAAAAGGTATTCATTAGAAATAGTCAAAATTTAATCATTGATCGAAGAAAATAATAGTCAAATTAATACTAATAATATGGAGGGATTAGTGTCACAATAATATCGGGATAGTTAGAAAAATCAAGTTTAATGTTTATTGATTCAACTTTCTATTATCAAATTGAATAAATAAATAAATGAATATTAGGATACAAAAATATAACTAGATAGTTTCAAAAGTATTTAGTGGAAGAAGACGCGTTAGCTTCTCGTATATCTAAAATTAGAAATTTTGTTTTACTTTCTTATTTAATTTCGTATATCATGTTTTTTCATAAAAATTTTGGCAAAGTTTTTCACGAAAAAATCTTATGAAAAAGGTGATAGTCTTACTTAAAAAATTGTATTGAAAAAAACATATTATATTACTAATTAACTCATTTGATCTACCAACAAAATATTTTTTAAAAGTAAAAAATAACACATTTTTTTATTAAAATAAACTTATCAAGTCATTATGTAAATATTATCAAGTCATTATGTAAATATTATCAAATATTTTAAACCAACTAAGTCGAATTTAACCGTTTCTAGAATTCATGAATTATTATTTCGAAAAGAAGACCGAAATAGCACATGTTCCCTCGTTTCTTTCAAAGTTTTATTTAGGATTATGAATCAGAAATTAAAATTTTATTAATGTTCATATTTTATTCAAATCATGATACTAATTTTTAGATATCCTTTATTTATTTCATTAATTAATTTATTTATCATTCTTATTCTTAATTTATCTATTTATTTTCTCTAAGAATATAAACGTGTACCCGCTTGTCTATGAAACTCATATTCTAACTAGGGAAGATTATTTAAATAGTTAAGCAAAAATTATAGATAAAGAATATATTATATCTTTGACAAAGGCTTATAATACGATTGATTACAACGTATTTATTATATTACTTATCTGACTTTGCACGTATTTTTCTTTTATTTTCAAAGTCATAATTCAAAGCAGATTGAAGAATAAACTAGAAACCAATGGGTTGTTTGATATATATTACTAAGAAATGCGAAGAAAACTATATATATATATATATATATATATATATATATATATATATATATATATATATATATTTAATTATAATCGATAGGAAATATTATGTAATATAGGCATAAATAATTAATTATTTTTAAATATTAATCGATCATTTTTTTTATTATAATAGTAAACAATTTAAAATTAAATTAAAATATGTTAAAATACTAAATATTTTTTATTGTTTATTCATTTTTACTATTTTTTTATAATTCAAATATTTTTTTATTGTTTTCCTTTTTTATTCTCTCACATTTATTCTTTAATTTAAAAAAATATGAAATAAGAAAATTACTTGAGAAAGTTGAAAAGGTGATCCATATTGTAAGAAACAAATGAGAAAGGTGAGTTTTAAATAATTAAATATAAAAATAAAGATGAGTATTTGAAAAAAAGAGTTTTAAAAGATGTTGGGTAGATGTGTGGGAAGACACATGTTTCCTTTATTATACCAGAAGCCTCATAAACAGGGAAATGCTTGGAGTAAATAGTGTTGTGCTACTTGACATGATGAATGGTAGTAATAGTTATGATATGCAGGAGATCATCACATGCGAATTAAGGGCTAGCTAGTTGCTACCCTAGCTTCCACCATTAATATTTGCGACTGTGTCATTCTAATGAACGAGGAAAACGCAAATCATCCACATGCTTTGAGGACAAAGTCGCTTTCCACTTGGATATGGAAAAAGCATATCTCCCCAGTAATAAGCATTTAAGTGCTTTAGGGTTGCGCAGAAACCATAGGTTAACACTTTTGGATGTTAAAAATAAACAAGTGATGATGTTGGTGGATTAGGAAAACTAAGATTAAAATAATAGTTTCTGCCATTACCCGATAGATTAAGCTCTTTAATTAACTAAATTGAAACATCCCGATATAATTCTTCTTTAGCGGTTTTTTCTTTTTTTAAGTCAAGGTTCAACTGATTTAGTTGAAAATTATCTAAAAACTAATATGCTGTTTCTAAATTAATTTTTAATTAAATTAAAAAAACAGAAAAATAGAATAAAATTAAAAAATTGATTCATTTTTTAGATCGATAATTTTTATAAAAAAATAAAATAATTTTTCTCTTTCTATATATATTATAAAAAATATAATATATATATATATATATATTATTTTATATTAATTACATTAATTCTAAATAATAATTATTTTATTATATTTTAACAATTATACATCTTATATTAGGGTTAAGTATATTTTTAGTCCCTATATTTTCATGTGAAATTGAAAATAGTCTTTTGTCATAATTCACATAAAAATAATCCCTATACTTTTGAAATTATTGAAATAGGTTCCTATTTTAAACGATATTAAGTATATGCTAATCTGTCTAAAAAAATGGTATGACTCATTCGTTATTTGACACGTGTAATTATTTTAAAAAATAAAATAAAATAAAATTAAAAGGTGTTAAGCTTTTAAAAGTCATTTAAATTCGTATTTATAACATTTATAAAAGTCATTTAAAAAAAATTTAAACTTATCTACCATTTATAAGTCATCTAAACTTTTCTACCTTAATTTTCGGAAATGAAAACCCTAGCTATGGTATACCATCTGTCGCACACTGCCAGTTGTGCATCACCGTCGCATTGCAGATCAAACCACAACAAACCGATGCAACCCTCGAACTTCAAAGTCACTTTGACTTCATACAACCTTTATAGAGAAATGGGAATAAAGAAAAGATTTTTGGTGTATGAAGAAAAAAGAAGAGAAAACAAAAAGTAGTTGTATCGAGAAAAGAAGAGGGAATGAAAAGTGATTGTGACGATAACTAAAAAGCTTTTGTGCGTGAGGAGAAAAAAAAAACTTCTACTTTTTAAATTTTTTTTTAATAATAATCTTTGTTTAATAATTTTAATTTTTTTAAAGAAGAGCTTTGTTTTTTTTTAAATAATTATACGTGTCAAATAATGAATGAGTTTCAACAGGTCATTATATATTTAACGCTATTCAAAATAGAGACCTATTCCAATCATTTCAAAAGTATATAGATCATTTTTATATGAACTTTGACATAAGGACTATTTTCAATTTCACATTAAAATACATGGATTAAAAACATACTTAACCCATTTTTTAATATATTTTATATTTATAATTTTTATTATAACTTATATAATAATACTTTTTATTATTTTTAATTTTTTTAAATATTATTAATAATAAAATTATTATATTGTAAAAATATTATTTTAATAAA